ACAAACTACACGCATGCTGGGATACCTCGCCTGCGGCCAATGAGCCTGTTTCCCCTCTGTTGACCTCTGGGCCCTTCGTCCCCTTTCCCATTTGGCCGAGGCGTCCTAGTCTGCTGCACACGATACATCTCAAAGAAAAACAAAACAAAATACAGGTTTTAGCATCAAACCACAAATACATAAGTGCCAAACTGCCATCTAAATTGAGTATATGAGTTTTCTACATTTAGCAAGCAAAAACAAAAATTATTATAAAAACAAAAGTCAAAACTTTTCATTGAGTGCTATGACCCCCAGAGAAGTCCATCATGAGAGTGGAAACGGCCTGTCTGTTTCCTGTGTAAAATATCCTCCCGGAATGTTCATCACAAAATTTTAGAAGAGTAGACGTCCCTCCTCTCCTAGGGTTCCAAACTAAAGAACCACAGAGCACTCTGGACATTCCTGGAGGAGTGGTGCCGGAAAAGGCAGAAGTTGATCGTTTTTCTCTATAGGCTTTAGGCATCTCTTTGTCCAAATTCTCTTCTGGAATTACAAATTTGCCCAGGCGCACTCCCCATCGCACAAAACACACCCTCTTAATGACTTGATTTCTGCTCATTGAACTATTCAAAATTGGTCTTAATCTTTTATCATAAAAAGTAGGCCATGGACGCGTCCGATGGATTTCTCTTAAGGTCTTACCTCTCAATTGGTACTTGTACTGCACCACAGACTCGCACAGGTCAGGGTCCGTGCTCTGACCCTCTCCTGTTTCTGATAATACAGAGCCTTGTAACATCTCCCCTAATGATTGTACATTTTGGTCATTTTGATTTTGATTTGGTACGACCGTGAATATGTCTTCCCATTGATCATCTATCCCAAGGTCCAATTCATTTTCCATTGTAAAACCCCCCAAAAAAGGGAAAAGAAAAAGGGTATTATTATTATTATTATTGTTATATATATATATATATATATATATATATATATATATATATATACATATACACACATATATGTATATATACATATATATGTTTCTATTATTAATTATTATTATTTATTTATTTATATATTATATATATATATATATATATATATATATATATATATATATATATATATATATATATATATATATATATATATATATATATATATATATATTTTTTTTTTCTATTTTTTGCTGTTCTCCCAATGACAGGAGACGTGAGCCATAGCACCTACTGCCTCTTCTTCGTAGGCTATGCATGTATGACTTTTAGAGCCCTGAGATGGCCCCCTAGATTTGATCTCTATTGTTATATCAGTATCGAAACCCTTCAGTTTTCCTATATAAGTCGTACTATAAGGTACGTGTGCACGGTCTCTTTTGGTGATCAAACAATTAAGACATATGACCCCTTTTCCTAGTCTGCACCCCTCTTTTTCTCCCCGGATTACGCCAGGAATACTCAGCACGACTGATTCTGTGTCGATTTCGACCCTCTGTGGATTGGCTTCTCCATGTGTCCTCTTCCTTGGAGGGCTACGGCTGGTTTCCCCGGCACTAACCGGGCTGAATCGTTCCTTAGGACCGGGAATGAATTCTCTGACTTCTATCTGATCCAATAAGTCGTCCTAGGACATAACAGACAGACATAACGATCATCCATCTTCCTTCCTATTACATACATTTCTTTGTATTCAGCAACAAATTTGCTTTAGTAATAACTTCAGCCCGATATGTATACACATATGCATACACACATGTATATGCAGATATATATACACATATATATACTTCTCTGGTTTGTACTTAATAATTGATTTTTTTTTTTTTTTTCTCTCTGCGGTTAGAATTAACGTACCGCACACGCTTGCCTTGGCAACTTCAGCGCCTGTTTTTCCAATCAGTAAATAGATTTCAATTTGGTCATGTTAATTTTATTTATTTAGTGAAACACTAACCCTCCGAAAGAGAGACTGTGCTTATGAACTGAGCTACAACTGCCAAAAGAACTACATTTAAACTTATCTTATATACGTGCTATTTGCTAACACAAAAGTTCGGACTGTAATCAGTAAGCGATAAACAGAATCATAACCTTGCTCATTACATTTGAGCTTTAATTTCTAGCTTTCATGGAGGCAGCCAATAAAATCAGTATAAGAGGCAGAATTCTCTCCTACCCTTTCGTCTTTGTTTTCATCTGTAGCGTCCCCAGTCCCGCTGTGAGAGCGCCCGCAGGTGCCAACGACTGCCATGTGGTTATATCTAGAAGAATTATAGAAGTCTGGTTGTGTGTGTCTGTTTTCACTGGCCATGCTTCCCCCGCTGCTCCTCCTCTCGTCTTAAACTTCCTCTTTCTCCTCTTCAACCACCTGTTAGACAGAGTGCCTGTCTTTCCTGTATAACTAAAAACTTCATTTTGTAGATTTAACTACTATCTATCTCATTATTTATTTATTTATTTAATACATATATATGCATATACATATACATACACACACACAATTTTTTATTTATTTATTTTTTATTTTTTTCTTGTTTTCTATTAGCAGCACATGCTGTGAGGTAATTTTTCACAGTTCGTTTAGTATTTAAAAGGAAAATTTACTTTATGGATATTCTATTTGTTTCCTTAGTAACTTATTGCTAATATTTTGTTTACTATTTGACCGCACTTCCAGTTTTGACTATACCCCCGGAGTGCTTCAGTTTACGTTTTTAATTTGAATAATTTTACTCCTTCGCTACTCACTTTGCTAATGCCTTCTCTGTCCCTTTTTCTCACTATGTACTTATACAAGTGTACACGGGTTAGTTTTCACTCCCACTTTAAGTTACATTTTTTTCACTACCATCTTATATCAATATTATTATTGTTATCATTTTATATCTTCCTTACTAAAGCCAAATTGAGGGGAACACGACCAATACTAACCACTTATAGCACAAATGTGACATCATGTCTTTGTTCTTTACGTTATCAATTTAATTTAAAATGCCTCTCCTTGCTTACTGGGCTTAAAGACCCTTTTTTTTTTTTTTTAAATCAGCAAATTTATTTATCTCCTTTATGGCGTCTTCATATTGTGACTCTAGGAGTCTTTCTGAGATCGTTTGAAGTTGCACCATGTTTCCAAACCTGCTATTCTTTATAAAGCAATTGGATTCTCTCACGCATGTCTTTTCTCCTTTATTTGTCACTGTCTTAATTACTATCTGTTTACACCGTTTGATTTGATCCTCCAAATTATCTATGCATTCAATATGAATCCACAACTGCTTTTCACTAAGCGAATAATCCAGAACGTGACACCGAACACTACTACTGCGATTCAACAGTGCATGTGCATCCAACACTAAGGCGGCCTTTCTTTCCATTAATTCATATATTTGTTGCCAATCGGATGAATAGGCACAGTGATCTCCCCCTGTCGCAGTGGGAGTGTTATTAAGCAATCCAGTAAGCGCAAGAAAATGTCTAACTTCATTTTTAGGGCGTCCTAACACTCTGGAGAATTCATTTTCCCAACTACGTTGATCACATCGAGTGCCATTTCAACAAATGGGGGGTCGTACAACCATAACATTTGTCCACTGCACCTAGAGGTTACTAAGGTCATAAGACCCAGAGGCGAGCACCTCAGTCACAGGGGACGCATTTACAAACCACATTAGCGTGAAAAGGCCAATCAGAAAACCACTGCTAAATATCAAATAGTACCAGTACCTATAAGGTCTAACATTTCTACAAACAAGTCTCCCAATGGTTTAAACGCAGATGTGGTAACACCTGTAGCCGAATAAGCCCCTGGCACTTTTAATTAAAACAGAGACTCTCCAAGAGTCTAGGAGGTCCCTCCTCACTTGCTGGAACCCCCAAACGAGCGGGGTCCTAGTGGCCACCAAACCCACGGGTTTAAGATTAATATCTGCTTGAAAACAGCATTGGAAGCCCATTTGGGCCAGTCCGACATTGTCATTCCAGAGCATGCTAGTCCAGTCTCCCAATACTATATCTGAATTTATGCCTGTTCCAACAGTTGATGCAGAAAGTCACTTTAAACTTTGCATCTAGCTCCTACCAGCTATTTTTAGCACAAACACCCTGTCACAGCACACAACATCCTGGTTCATACACTTCTCATTTGAGCTTCATGCCTGCCGGGGTTAAAGGAGTAGATTTGCCTATTTTAACACACTGTTCAGAGGCACTGACAAGGATAAATCCTGAAGTGAGGCAGACAGCATCTCGGGGCAGGACCTGGAGCCATTGATCCAGGGAGCCCTCGTACGGCCCTGAAAACATGGATAATAGCTCAGGCCCATCCCTGCCTACCTTTCTTTTTCTCATGCACTTAAACTTACTGAGCATGCTGCTTAATGAATAGCTGTTTAGGATGAACAACCATTCCTGAGTCCAACGTTATTTAATTACCGTCTATCTGCACTATCTACTGAGTTTTTTTACGTACTAACCCCCTACGCCTCTGCCCCAGCCAGATGTGAAGCAACGGCCACCTCGCTTCGTCGAAGGAGCAGGAAGCTTCGCAACCGCCTTGCATACAGGCCCCCCGCACACCGCAGAACATATAGGTTTCGTACATCAGTGTCAAATAAAGGTCAACTGTCAAAAGAACAGAAGGTCCTTGTCTTTCCTGCACACAAACATAACGGTTACAGAAATTATTGCAAAACAACCTAAACTTTAAAAATTTAATTGAAAGAATTAAGCAAATCAATATAAAGGAAACAAATCAGATTAAATCAAAGCAAAACAAGTAACTCAGGGTAATATGGGTCACAAAAGCACTTCTAATATCTAATTCTTAATCTCTAATGCTCTAACAGTTATTCAATTATCAAAATAAAGCATCATGAACATCTTCATCTGAATTCAGGAGCCCTTTTAGTGGGGCTTACGCCAAAACATTCATCCTTTTACCCCACCCGAGTGAGCTCTCCTGTGGCCGAAGGGGGGGGGTTCACGACAAATGTATTATTTATTATACTTTCAGATCTGAGTAGCAGCGTTGGTCCGGACTGGGACTTTCTCAGATCAGATCACTGTGACCTCCTCCTCGATGCCATGGACAAACAACTGGACCAGTTGCAGGTCGGACACAGTTCTGTTCTAGAGAATAAAGATGACATGTAATCTTTGAAAGCCAATTAAATCCTTAGAAATACTATACATTTACAATAAAAAAAAAAAAAAAAAAAAGTGAAAACGTGGAAAGGAGTGTGTCATTCTTATGGTTATATTGTGGTATCTGTTGTTGTGTGTGCAGATCCACTCTCACAAGAATTCCAGCAGGTTCAGAGAAAATGTCTGCAAAGAGACAGGTAATCCATACTGTAAGTGTACACACTGTATCCAGTACTCTAGAGCTGGTCATAAATAGGTCTGTTACTCATAGTGACCAGTGGATGGAGCCAGTCTGTGAGTAAGGACACAGGTCTGGGCAGCACTCAGACAGACACCCCTCTGTCCTATCAGGACCTCCAGAGCCCAGCGGACCACATGTCAGGTAACAGACAAACAGCTAGAGCAAAGAAGCAAGACAACTCAGATCAACTCACATAACTTTATCTGACACACTTTTGAACTCTAGTGTCAGAAATGTCAGATTAGCATTGTGGATTTTGTTAACAATATGATAAATACTTTATATTGTGTTTAGGTTTTATGTTCAGTGTTCAGTGCCTTCTTAGAGAGTTCTGTTTGTTTATTCAGAATCAGACACCCTCACCAGCATCCAGGAAACATGCATTTGGGAATGAAACCAAACATTCCTCCATGTAAACATCAGAAAATTGTTAAATGATGAGAAATGTCATTTTTCCTCACCAGACATGACTAGTGCAACTGTTCCTTTGCTTTTTGTGCCACTAGAGAGCAGTACAGGCTTTAAAGATCATCCTGGGGACAGAGTGGTGTGTGTGAGGAGCAGAGACAGAGACAGGGACAGGGCAGTGCAGGAGTCCCACCAGGAGGAGGCGCTGTGGAGGCTGCACCGACTCCTGGGAGACTCCTGTGTGGGTGGGGACGCAGGGACACTCCAGCCCCTGTCTGACAGCATCTGTACAGAGGACTTCGCCCGCCGCTTCAGCCAGGAGATGGTTCATGAGTCAGTCACACGCAAGCGTCACGGGGCATCCACAGGGGACACCAAAGATCTGTCTAAAGCAAAGCCTGCAGACACACAGAAGACAGAAGCTCGACTCAAGTGCAGATCTCCAAGAAGAGCCACTGAGGATGGCCACAGTAAGTTTTTTTATTTATTTAGATGGATAAGTGTAACTTAACATTATATATTAATGTGACAGGTATGCATGCAAAAAGCAGTATGCTTTTTATTGAGATATATAAAGAAGGAGAGTTTAATGGTTTAATTTGAATAAAACTTAAACTTAGTGAAAGGTGAAACTGGAGAACCCAAGAACCTGAGTTTTGCAATCTAAACAATGCAAAAATATCAATAAAGTTATTAAACACTGCTGTTTATTTTATACTCTAGATGCCCTGAAGACTCCACATGTGAAGCGTCCTCAGATAAACACCAGCACTCCTAAGCCTAAGTGTGTGGCTGGTATGTCCCCTCTGCCTCTGTCTGATCCACACTTCCAGTACATGTGTGAAGCCCAGGTTGTCCTGTCATAGGAGTGGTAACCCTGTGTTGTCCTGTCATAGGTGTTCCTGTGCTGAGCTTTGACTCTGTGTCCATCGACAGTGACTTGGACTCGGTGTGCACAGAAGGACTCCGTCAGCACATCCGCAAACAGCCTGGTCAGACCCTTCATAACACCGCCAATAGGAATATTACAAAGTGTGTTCATATATCCTGGCCTCTCTACACAGGATGGCGTTCTTTCATGGAATCAGTCCGAAATCTGGATGAACTTTGTAAAGGTCCTCAAGACGATGACGCAGACACTTTGCAGGACACTGAACATCTGAGTCACACAGGTACTGTGTTTCTTTCACTCATCTAGACTAAAATCCTTGAAGGAGAATTCACTGACCATGTCTTGTTTAGAAAATACAGAAAACCAAGTCACAACTCCACATCTCAGAGATGAGTCCACCAGGTAAGACTCCTTCAAATGAAATGGATTCATTGGACTGAAAGACAAACTAAACTGAACTGCTGTGACTTACAGTCAAGTTCCTAAAAACATATTCACATGATACAAAGGTACAAAAGCACTTTTAGCTACATATTCTCATTTGTACAGGGGATGAGAAGATATTATGTCAGTTATTTTTATTGTCTTCATTGGTAGAAATGTGACTTAGGAATTCAGTACGAATATTGTCTGTAGCACAGTAGCAGCACAATGTAAGTTTTAATCTAGAGCTGAATGCTTCCCTGATTTATGTACACACATTGAGGTTAGTTAGTTGTTCACCCAGTATCTCGTGGCATATTAGGTTTATTTGGTACTTTTTTTACTTAGACCCCTTGTTGATGAAGAGGAGGATTTGGAGGATGAGTCCAAGAGGAGTTCCCCAGGGATGCTGTCAGGATGTCCAGCCATGAGAGAGTGCCTCTGCAGCCTCCAACATGTCAGAGCCCCTCCTCTTTCTGCTTAGACACTAGTCTTATCCAGACCTCTGTACAGTTCATGTAGAATTGACTTGCTGGTGTTTGATATTAGAAATGTCAGGAAGAGGACACACTTCTGAATGTCAAAAGGTCTCAGCTGAGTGAAGTAGAGCATTCCCTCACTGTACTCCAACACAAAAAACAGGTGAGGATCTTGTTCAGAATTTGCATTTTTACCAGTGAGTTAAATTAATATGAACTAGTCAAAAATTAACATTAGTCAAAAGTTAACCTATTGGATTAACACTTAAATAGGTGAAGTTTCTGTGACATTATATTATTGCCCATAGTTTAGTGCTATGGCAGTGGGCAGATCAGACTCCTACAGCAGAATTTGTAATTTTGATAATGTGTTGACCTGAGTCATTATAAGGTCTAATAATATTGTAATATTAATATGTGAAATAAAATATATTGTTGCAGGAAGCTCTGAGGGAGATAGCCCAGCTGAGAGCAGACACTGTACGACTGGAGCAGGAGAGAAAGTGTGTGGAGTGTAATCTACTGCAGACCAAAGCTGAGAAGGATTCTGTCAGGTGTGGATACAATGTTCAGAAATATATGAAGTGTTAGCAACAGAAATCTACTCATACTTGTGTTTACTGCAGGCATGATTTACAAATGGTTCAGAGGCAAAGGGACTCTGCTCACCACACTGCATACAGAGCCCTGGACCTCAGCGACAAGAGGGTGAGACAGTGTGTGTACGCAGGTCCCTATGACGTAAACAACCTAAGCTTTAAAGTTCAGATATGAGTTAAAATAGTTTATAGGCTTTAACCTAAACCCCAGTTTAGTAGTCTAGTTTAGTTTGTGAAACAGGTTGTGGACTCTCCTCTCTCTTAGTGTGACGTGGTGGTCATGTCTGTGCTGGAGAGGGATGAGATGCAGAGACAGCTGACCGCAGCCAAGTCTGACCTGTTCACAGAGCAGCGGCGCGCCAGAGAGAGACTGGAAGCTCTGCAGGAAGTATTAGAACTTACCATTTCTTTTTTTCTTTTTTTTTTCATATACAGATGTCCTTACATACTTTTGATTTGTCCACACAGACATTAGGTGCATATGTTTCCAGTGCAGTATGTTGAAATCCATTACATGCACCAGGCTGCAGCAACTGAGCCTGACCTCTCTGTGACCTCTCACTGCGCACTTTGACAAGACAACCAAGTCTGTTTATTATAGTTTGAGAGCGGTTTCTAAACCACACAGCAATACAAAAGAGAAACTGCTCCAATAAAAACATTATAAAAAGCTGTTATAAATGCTGTTTTAAAATAAGATACACCATACAAAAGTCTATTTTGCTAATCACCAGCAGTGTGTGAAGTGAAGTTGCTGTCACCAGTTTGTGAGTGTGTGTATGTGTGTGTGCTGAGCAGAGGCTGGACGAGGCTCATGAGGAGCTGCAGGAGGCCACAGATGCAGAGAGCGCTCTGAGGGACAAGTGTGACAGCCTGGAGGAGCAGCACAGACAGAGCAGCCACGCGCTCCACGTCAGTCCTGAACAGTACATTTCACTCTGGTGTAAATGTGCTTGTGTCAGAGTTACAGTCACAACACTAGGACACAGGCAGCACAACTGAATGCTCCACTGTGTTCTTTAGGCTTTAGAGTCCCAGGTATGTGAGCTGAAGGGGGCGCTGGAGGGCAGTCAGCTCACAGTGGGGACTCTAGAGAAGATCCTGTGTGAGAAGGAGCTACAGCTGCAGGAGCTCCATAAACTCCACAGGGAGGAGCAGAGCCTCAGAGAGCAGGGCCAGAGCCAGCTACAACAGCTCAAGACCCAGCACTACACTGCCCTGAGAGAGGCCCGCAAACACGCACACTCCACACTGGTACACGGGGAGGCAGCCATTTCCTCACACGTCTAATGCATATACTACACACTCATGGTGTTTTCTGTGGCAGCAAACAACTCTGCAGCAGCACAAGAGAGACCTGGAGCTGAGGCATCAAAGAGAGATCCACAAGGTCAGACACAATGTTACGAATCTAGGACCACATATGTACAAGGACAATACAGACTTTTCAGTCCTGAAACTTGTGAACCAATACTTACAGAAGCCAATACTGAATTTTACTACATGTATCAGTATCTCTGCAAGATACAAATAAAGTATAAATATAAAGGCCAAACCCTTAACCCAGTGGCTCTCAGACTTTTATCAGGTCTAAACTAAGGCCAACCCAGGTAGAAATAGAACTACACAATTGCTTAGCTAGTTCTTAGCAAGGACTTACTTAAAAAGGCCAGAGTTTGGGAACCTCTCCCCTGTATCCTGCAGTGATAACCATATCTCAGTATGCATTGTTCTCCTTTGGGATCTCACACTGTCAGTGAGAGTTACCTGAGTTCTGAATATCTACATTTATTTTCACATTGACAATAGAGTTTTCTAGAGGAAAGTGAGATCAATATTTATACAATTATGTGTTCCAGTAAATATTAGGACAATATGGTAGAACCTAAACCTAACATTTCCTGATGTGTCATTTTAATTTGACAGCTCAAAGAGGAAGAGGCAAAGAAGTGTAAAGAAGAACTGGAGATGGAGCTTTTGAAAAAGGTACAGCAGAAAGAGATTGGACATCTTCAATTCAATGTTTTTTTTTTTTTTATGATACCTTTCTACATTATAGATACAGACTGAAGACATCAAATATATGAAGAAAAGAATATATGGAATTATGTAGCAAAACTACAGTTTTATATTTTAGATTCAGATTTGAATCTACTCATCCTTTGTTTTACTGACAGCGCTGCAAACCTGAAATGGTTTCCACTTCACAGCTGTGCTGTGTCAGGATTCACTAGTGTAATCCCAAGAGTGTGCAAAGCAATGATCAAAGCAAAGGCTAAAGTTTATTTAGAGTTTATACTTTTGATGCCATCATTGAAAATCTATAATGTAATGAAATGTTACAAAAATGAAGAAAAAACATTGAATTAAAAAGTGTGTCCACACTTCTGACTGATAGTGACTGATAGTGTTTTGTGTTGTGCCAGGTGCAGAGTGCAGTGGAGGAGGAGCACAGCAGGAGGGAGGCTGAGAGAGAGGAGGCAGTGAGAGTTCAGAGCAGACTGGAGCAGCAGCTCAGAGACACAGAGGAACATCTGACCTCCAAGATCCAACAGGAGAAGAACAAGGCTAGGACTCTGCACAGCAAACTGAAGGAGATGCACGTAGTACGAACCTGGAACATCACATCCAGTCAGCCCACAGTTTAAGAATTCTTACGTTGCTTCAGAGGCAAAGACTCTGGTTTGATGGGGCTATGTGGGGCCTATCTTTGTGGAGTTTGCATGTTCTATATAGTTACCCTGATTTCACTCATCTACCTAAAATGTGCACAATAGGCTTATCTCCCAGCAGGTACTCCTGACTTAAAGGCACTGTACCTAATTTTTATTGTCTTAAGAATGTGAAAAACAGAACTAGTGCATTTTAAATGTTTTCCTCACTTGCCTTGTGCATTCCAAGCATCCTAATTAGTCATCTTAATGAGTTTATAAGCACTTTTCACAAATCTTATCACTTTGTTGTGAATGTAAAGCTAACAACAACATCCTGATTATCACACAGTGCAATGCCTTCTTGTTAGGCAGCACGCAGCAGGCATATTTTGCCCTCAAGAGCTGCTTATATTTGCTTTACTGGGGCATGACTTTTTTCTCTCACATACATATTGGGTTCAGGACCTTTAACTGTACTCTAACTATAATCTGGGTACCCAGGTGTCGCATTAAAGGATGAGTCAGATACATAGACATATTCATCTGTGGTTTCAAGGTACAAATGTACACACCATCACTGATCAGCCAGTACCTTTCACCATGCATCAATGTGTTTAGTCTTGTCAATGTGTATTGTCTGCCTGTGGTTTTGTGTGTGCAGGAGCAGCAGAGGGCAGCAGTGCAGCTCAAACAGGCTGAAGCAGAGCTGAGCAGACTGAGGAGGAGCCTAGAGGAGAGGGAGAAAGCACACACTCAGTGCACTGCAGAGGGGCAGCTCCAAGCCTCGCACTGGGCCCTGGAGCTCCTCACTGAGGTCAGCCAGCTGCAGGGACTGCTCCAAAACAACAGCAGCAAAACAGGATTCCAGCATAACCCCAGGTCTCTCCCTCACACTAGTGCACTAGTGCTGTTGACCCAGTTGTATACTGGAGTATGTGTTGGGTTCACTTTCAGCAGAACAGATTTATTACTTACAAAGTGCACCAAAACTATGTTGTAATATTTCAAGTCTCATGTTCATGTTCATAACATGTGTCTTATGCCCAGTCCCACGGTGGAGGAGGCACTGTCCGCCCTCAGGTCAGTGCGAGAGCAGGTCCAGAGCTTCACTCAGAAGATACAAGAGGAGCTACTTTCACTCAAGAGCTCAACTGAGAAGATGCATTCAGAAAAGGTACTGTTAAATATATATAAATATATATAAAGCTACTGTGTTTGAGGAAGTCCTCTGCAGACCATCTAATGACCATGTGTCCAGGAGCGAGAGCTGAGTGTCCAGAGACAGCAGCTGAGGAGGGAGAGGGACCACGCGCTGGATGCCCTGAAGGAACGCCTCATTCAGGTTGTCCCACTGCTGACCACAGGGACTGACCTAAGACAGGACTTCCCAAACTGTGCTACAGGTCCCACTGCGAGTAAGTTTGAATAAAGCTGACAGATGTGTGTTCGACAGGAGCACATTGAGGAGCTGAGCAGTTTGCAGAGGGAGGGGCCCTCACAGGAGGTCTTAGCCTATCTGAGGAGCCAGCTCAGGGCCAAGGACTCTGAGCTGAAGCAGGTCCAGAGGAGCATGGTCCAGTGGAAGGAGCTCACTGCCCACAGGATGGCCTGCAAGTTTGAGGAGGAGCTAAGCACTGAGCTGGAGAGGTACAGGTGCATCACACAGCACACATGAGAGGGTGTCTGCTTTTATGAGCAGACATTTCATTTAATCAAGTATGTCGTTCAGTATGAGCTGGACATGTCAAGATTATTCAGCTGACAATAACTGTCACAATGTCACATTTTAAACATACGAACAAGAAAAATGAAGGATGAAAACTACAGTAAATGAGTACCTCATGCTTAAATCTCATACTTAAAGGTGTAAAGTCCAGTGTTAGTATGTCATCTATATACAGTCTATGCTGAAGTGTGGCTCTACTTTCTGCTGTCCTACAGGTGCAAAGCCAAAGTGCTGAGGAGGAGGTAAAGCGTCTCTGATTAGAACACTAACTATTGGATACTAATCTGTGCCTGCTTTAGAGAGAGCCTAATAACTCAGACACAAGAGTGAACAGCTCTGAAGAGTCACAGCTTAATAACACTAACATCCACTCTTTCTTTCTCAGACATGTGTTAAAGGCCCCTGAACAGCTGAAAGGTCCTGTGACACCCAAAGAAGAGCAGAGTTCAGAGGAGAAGGTACAGCTGCATGTCACTGCTCTGGATTGCCTCTGTTTACTTGTATTTACTTCACTGGTATTTCATACATGTCATTTTACTGGTGTAAAAACAGTTTCATGATCACTGTTGAAGCTGGAGTGCCATTATCTGTCCAGTGCACCTCACATCACACAGAGTCCTATGGTTTTAGTTTTCCAGGTTTTAGTCATAGAATTTGACAACCTGATGTGAGGCGCTCATTTGTCTTGAGAAACAAAACATATCAGAGATTAACCTAATTATTTCTGAAGGAAATTCAAGGTTTTCAGCTGCTAGTACAAAATCTGCAGCTCTAAAATAAACTGCCATGTTTTAGTGGAATAAACATTATAGTGGAATAAACTCTTTCATCCACACACCTGCATGCATGGGCACAGAAAGCAAAGTGGATGTCTTGCTCAAGGACACAATGGAAAGTTAAAAGTGCTGCACCACTATGACTTCTGGGTTTCCCACCCCGAACTAATTGACTAAGTCATCTTTATCTTTTGAGATCAGAACAGATTAGACATTCTACATTGACATTCCGAGTGGTGTCCTCTCCTCAGGCCTGTCCACTGTCTTCTGTCCCACTGTAAAAGTGAGACAAAACTCCACATAAAGTCTTCATACTGACATTAGAGTGGTGTGTGTCTTCAGGCCTGTCCCCTGTCTTCTGTCTGCTCTGTGCTGGACTGCTCCTCAGACACAGCATCTCTCAAGCTCCTGCTCCACCTCCAGACCAGGGTCAAACAGCTGCGCGTGGACAACCAGAACTACAGCGCCACCCACGGCCCCAGAGACCACACTGCACCTCTGCACTGCTGTACCGAGGAGGCACCCAGAGACAAGCACCAGTGCTCTTAAAGTGAATTCAGCACTCAGTCAGCTTACTTTTTTGCTACTTATCTGTGCTGATGATGTTTTAATAGTGTTGTCTACTGTCCCTAGTCCTTTTATTGCAAACTAGGTATATTTGCAGTTTTCAGTTTAGAAATCATCTAAGACCGTTTGTTGTTTGTTTTCTCCCATGTTATAACCTTGTTCATCCTCATCAAAAAACACACCTGAAGAGGTTTTAGATGTTATCCATGCTTGTTTGAGTAATTTAGCGATCTCTTCTTATGGTTAGCTGTAAAATTTTGTGCAAGAAGCTTATATCACCCATCCACACAACAATTCATTTAAAAACATGACACATACAGTACTGTGCAAAAGTTTTAGGTGGGTGTGGAAAAATGCTGTAAACAAGGAATGCTTCAAAAAATATAAATAATGATTGTTTTCATCAATTTACAAAATACAAGCGAACAAAAGAAAAATCTATCCATCCATCCATTTTCGTCCGCTTATCCGGGGCCGGGTCGCGGGGGCAGCAGCCTAAGCAGGGACTCCCAGACTTCCTTCACCCCAGGCACGTCCTCCAGCTCCTCCGGGGGGACCCCGAGGTGTTCCCAGGCCAGACGAGAGACATAGTCCCTCCAGCGTGTCCTGGGTCTTCCCCGGGGCCTCCTCCCGGTGGGACATGCCCGGAACACCTCCCTAGGGAGGCGCCCAGGAGGCATCCGGAACAGATGCCCGAGCCACCTCAACTGGCTCCTCTCGATGTGGAGGAGCAGCGGCTCTACTCCGAGCTCCTCCCGTGTGACTGAGCTCCTCACCCTATCTCTAAGGGAGACGCCCAGCCACCCTGCGGAGGAAACTCATTTCAAGCGCATGTATCCGCGATCTCGTCCTTTCGGTCACTACCCAGAGCTCATGACCATAGGTGAGAGTAGGAACGAAGACTGACCGGTAAATCGAGAGCTTCGCCTTTCGACTCAGCTCCCTCTTCACCAGTGGAGGAGTGGAGGAGAAAAATCTAAATCAAATCAATATTTGGTGTTACTACCTTTTGTCTTCAAACCAACACCAGTTCATACAAAGGGGTACACAAGTCATAAGTCAGGGATTGTGTAGGATTATAGTCAGATGTATGAGCAACCAATTCTTCCAAACAGGTGCTAATGATCATCAGTGTCACACGTAGGTTGGAACACAGTCATTAAGTGAAACCGAAAGAGCTGTGACTGTAGGAGACTTAAAGGAGGCTGGGTGAGGAAGAGCCAAATTCTGCGACCAAGGTGAAGTTGTGGAAGACAGTCTCATGTCACAGGTCAAACACCACAGAGCACAGCAACAAGACACAGTGTAGTTCTACTGCATCAGCAAGTCTCTCCCAGACAGAGATTTCAAAGCAGCCTGGGGTTTCAAGATGTGCTGTTCAAGCTCTTTTGAAGAAGGACAAAGAAACAGGCGACATTGAGGATCATAGATGCAGTGGTCGCCCAAGGAAACTTAGTGCTTGTTAGCTTTTGGAATCGGAAGCTGTCCAGCAGTGACACCAGCTCAGAACTGACAGAAACCAGTGGGACCCAGGTGCACCCATCTACTGTCCAGAGAAGTCTGACCAGAAGTGTTTTCATGGAAGAACTACAGACAAAAAGCCATACCTCTGACTTCAAACAAGGCCAAGTGACTCAAGTCTGCACAAAAACATAGGAACTGGGTTGCAGAAAAATGGCAGCAGGTGCTCTGGACTGATGAGTCAAAATGTGAAATATTTGGCTGTAGCAGAAGGCAGTTTGTTCATCGAAGGGCTGGAGAGAGGTACAATGTTGAGTGTCTGCAGGTAACAGTGAAGCATGGTGGAGGTTCCTTGAATGTTTGGGGCTGCATTTCTGCAAATGGAGTTGGAGATTTGGTCAGGATTAACGGTGTTCTCAATGCTGAGAAATACAGGCAGATACTTACCCATCATGCAATACCATCAGGGAGGTGTATGATTGGCCCCAAATTCATTGTGCAGCAGGACAACTACCCAAACATACAGCCAAAATCATTAAGAACTATCTTCAGAGTAAAGAACAAGAAGTCCTGGAAGTGATGGTCTGGCCTCCACACTGCCCTGACCTCAACATCATGGAGTGTGTCTGGGTTTACATGAAGAGACAGAAGGATGTGAGGAAGCCTCCACAGAAGATCTGTGGCTTATTCTTTAAGATGTTTGGAACAACCTACCAGGCGAGTTCTTTTAAAAAGTGTATGGAAGTTCACCTAGAAGAACTGATGCCCTTTTGAAGACAAAGGGTGGTCACAAAAAATATTGACTTGATTTAGATTTCTCTTTTGTTCATTCACTGCATTTTGTTGATTGATGAAAATAAGTGATTAACACTTTCATTTTTGAAGACATTCCTAGTTTACAGCGTTTTTTCACACCTGTCTATAACTTTTGCTCAGTACTGTGCACACAGTGACTGTACACAGCAATTTGACAGACAGTTCATACCTCACATAACTGACATTAAAAAGTAATTGGTAATATGTCACAGTACTTGAAATTGGAATGGTCACTGGAGGCAGTATGCACTTGGTAAAACACCATGTACTTAGCTGAGTGTTTGTTTGTGTTTAGTTCCACCTTTTAAAGATACTAGAACATGTGTGTGTGGCGTATTGATGACTTTATACATATTTAATCCTGACCATTTGTGCTTTCCACACGTAACAGTGATTTTCATTTTATTACAGAATGTACAGTTGTACTTGTACACAGCTCTGGCTGGTTTCTACCTCTGCTTGTACTTGCTTATACTCCTGTTAGTTGGACTACTACCCTTTTCTGTATTTGTACTTGTACACAGCTCTGGTTCTTTGGACCACCTGTCCCCGTATACTCCTACTCACTGTAGTACTTGTACTTGTACTTGTACATGTGGAGGCCTTGAAACTCTGGTTGCTCCTAAGATCATGCCGCGTTCTCCAGCTCTGAGGCCTGGAGAGCTGATCCAGTGAGCCTCATTTCCTTCTTGGACAGTAAATATTTATTAGCATGACTTATTGTTTTGTGATTTAATTTCAGCATTATTTCACCAGAATCAGCTGAGGCGATCTGGACTGGAGTTGCTCCTCTGACTGGTCATTCCAGAGGGCTGGGTGTCGACATCATTAACAGTCGTCAGTGGTGAGACTGACTTACATGAGTAGAATCCAAATTCCAATCAAATCTATCGCCAAGTGCAATACATGACAAATGCTCCCATCTGAGCTCAACTGATTACAAGGAGAGCTGTGGAAAGGATGAGCTCCGGTTATTAATGATTGACCTGACCTCACCTCCCACATGCTGCCTCCAGATGGCGCTCAAGTCCTTTCTGCTGAGCTCCCATCATTTTGGAACAGACTTGGAAGTGGAACAGTATGTAGCCTGCGCTCTTACAGTTTCTGGGGTCTACATTTACAAATAAACATAGGCTGACAGTGCCCTAACCTGCAGATACTCATTCTCAGGTTATGGACAGGCCTCGTGTGAAGCTCAGAACCTCCAGAATTCTGTCCCTGAGCTGCAGCGGCTGCACTAGCACTGACTCATGGCTGGTGCAGGTGCTGGGGTTTAGGTTTAAATCAGATGGATTTCAGCACTGAAACTGGCAACAAAGATGAGAGTCTCACGTGACTGGATAATCCTCTTGCGAACCAAAACATCAAATTATAACATAAACATCTTGTCCATCATGTCCAATGTTTTTGTGATTAAGAATAAATAAGTATTACAGTAGTTCTCAGTAAAAGTGTCTACTGTTTACATGCCCACATTTGAGGGCACAGATACACTTTATAGAATGTAAAATCATATGATTCTTTATAGCCATTATGATTTGGCAAGTAGTGGAGCCAATCCTAAACAAAAAATGACAAGATGCAACATTTGTGCATCATACGTTGGATAATTCTCTCAAAAACTGTAAATCTTCCATAGAGTTGTATATTGTACTAGTATAGTCTATTAAATAGACCCTTGCCCTCCAACTAAAATTATGACATCATCACCTTTTAAAACATGAAACATGATCTCTCAACCATTAGTCTGCCACAGGTCCTAGAATCAGTACCGCTGAGATGATCCTCATATTATTTTAGTTTAGTTCTGGTTTAGTCCTGGTTTAATCCTGGTTTAGTCCTGGTTTAGTCCTGGTTTAGTCCTGGTTTAGTCCTGGTTTAGTGATCTTTAAACGGCCTATATTGTGCTATTTTCTGAACTGTCGCTGAAATGTAGTTTCCTCATCACAAACAGACTTGGAGTTGTGTTTTGTTTCATTCAAACATGTTCAACACACAAACCTGCATATTTATTCTGAAAACAATCTGTTCCACCTTGTGATGATGATAATACTGAAAGTGCTCCACTGTGTGGTTAAACTTCATACACTTTCACTAGAATCTTAATTTTAGCCCTGGTATTGCCATTTCTACTGAACAAAAGGTAGAAGGAGATGTTAACTTGAAGTCTACTGCTTCATGACATCATTGAGTTTTGAGATGTAGACAGGCAGGGTAAAGGTAACACAAATATGTGTGAATGAAACACAACATGCAAAAAAACAGGTTTGTGATGAAGTAACAGCTTTCTAACATGGCTTAAAGCTCACAAGAATCAATTTTACACAATATAGAAGCTACAAAGTTCAGATTTGACCCTGATGAGCACGTTGCAGAGTTATAGCCGTGCAGAGGGCAGTAGGACAGAACCATAAATGTGAGTTATTGAAGCTAAAAGATCTCACAGCAAATGATCTACTGTCATAAAGATCAGGTCACAGTGGCAGTGACACAAGCCCAGCACAGAACTCCTGCTTATGGAACATTTATGGAGCATTTACGGCTCACTGGAATCCTGTTCCCCTCACACTATTGTCCTGATGTGACCGGAGGGGCATCCAGGCCACTGTGACACTCTGAGTCTTACATTAAAGCACACCTATTCTGCCTAATGGACTGTTCAGAGCGTGTAACCATGTGATAGTAGTTTCTTCTCATTGAAAGTAATCTCAAAGTTATCTGTAATATATTATTTTAGTATATTATGTATTGCTATTTTGCCAACTAACCCCCATTTGCACTCCCACTGCTGGGCGCATCAGTGGTACATGTAGGATTTGGCAGAGTTGCGTAGTGTTTTTGGTACAAATGAAAAAAAAAGTCCATTGGAGGAGCTGACAGCATGCGGGGCTTTATTGTGATGACATATATGGTGACCTCAGCTCCCACTGGGCACTGCAGTTTCCTAGAAGTCAGTGGAAATATTTCTTTTTTCCACCTTTTTGTCACAGAAATTTAATATAATTTATTTTCCTCCATACACAGCAGAGTCTTGTGACGACATCAGTCAGCTACACACTGTGTTCTTCTAATTAAAAAATCTGTTACACTTTACAAACTTTAAGAAAGAGCCATGGAAGTCACTCTCTGACTCTCTGAGATGGGTGCTGGTTGGTTGGTGGTGCTCCACCCTGTTTCCACGTGGATACTAGTGATGTGCCACAGTGTTAACGAGAGCAAGGAACAAGATTTAAATACATATTTCCTCCTTACCCAGTGTTAAGTTAAAGGTGCAATATGCAACTTGTATGAGACGCCACCATCTGCCTGTCTCCATGGAGATTTTCTTTTATTATTTTTTAATAAATATAAACACCTTTAATTTATTAAATTGCAGAGAAGTTAATTGCCATAATATGGGACACTCCAGATAAGCAACATCTCCATGGAGACAAGTGGCAGAGCTGACTCTAAACCATAAACTTATATGTTGCACCTATTATAAATTGATATTATCTGAGAAACAGGTATGTAGAGTCCTTTCTATAAGTTAAGTTATTTTAGTAAGTAATTTGATGATTATATGATATTCAGAATATTCTTATTATCTTTTCACTCAGCTGAATTTGAACTGTCTTGATTTACATGGGTCACTCTTGGATGTCTTCAGTACTTCTGAATTCATTTGAATTCAACTGTAACAACACTACTGACCATTAAAAAGACCAACCTCTACAGCTTAAACAAAGTTCAGTTTATTCTGCTGTGGCTGCAGTGATCTTACAACAGCAAGTATCAAAGTACAAAACAACATTCAACATACAAAATGAAGTCAGGATTCAACACACAACTTTGGCAAGCAGAAGCAGGCGAGTTTATAAGGCAGACACATGAAGCCTTCAAGCCAGCCAGCGGTCAGGAGCAGACAGGAGCATTATGGGAGTATGAAGAGTATGGGAGCAGATAAAGCTGGAACTGGACGTGTTGAGTGGCAAATGATTGTCTCCCTGTTACTGCAGCGTTACAACAGCAGGGGGAGCTAATTACAGGCAGCAGGAAGAGAACACAGCATGAACCTCCATGTCTGTGCGTCCATGTGTTTAACAGAAGCACAGGGCAGTTGTGGCCCAGTGGTGAAAGCGTCCTTACACAGGACACTTCTACTAGCTTGCCTGCATATGAATGTGGCACAGATTGGCAGACACACTTCCATCGGTCTACACCAGCGCTTCGAGAGTTTCAAAAGTGCAACACAAAACCAAGCTATCATTGTCTGTGTGGTCCTGCTCGGTTTGAAAGAGGTTTTAAGGTGCAGAGTCAACCAATGACAGAAGGAAAGACATATGTGACAAGAGCGGGGACAAGTTCAACCATTAATCACAATGAATCAGTTATTGGAATTAAATCATCAAATAATGGCTACTGGGTCTATACACACACTCCAAAAACATGCCATGTGTTACAAAAGGGACGAGGACAGGGCAGGAATGACATCTAAAACACAAAGCGAATGCAAGGCCTGTCACAGTGAGTACTATATGAACTTATAGTCAGTGATGAATTAGAGCTAGAACAGGAATTTTAAAGGCTTCAGTTTTTACCCTGGTGGGTTTTTTAAGAGATTTGATGATGACTAATTCCAGAACTAACTCAAGCAGTGTTTCTCAAATGTTTCACACCAACAATTCCCAAGAAAAAGATTTGACTTTCTGAATACAAGCTGAAATTGTATAACTTGACTATTCCAGGTCTAATCCAGGACTAAACCAGGTCTAAAAGTGGACTATCATTTCCACTGCAGTTCGAAAAAAGAAACGATCGAAAGGATCACAGCAAACTCACAAACTGAAGAGCTCCAGGTAGCACCTGATGGAGCTTGCATTCCTCGGTTTGAGAAACACTGAATTAAAATGTCTTTCTATTTATTGAACCACTTGTTTTTCTTGTTTTTTAAAGTTATTATTTTGATTAAACAAAATTGACTCTTGTCAGATTTAAGCTACAGGTATGATATAGTATTACTTCATCAAACGATACTTGGGGTTGTGTTCCGTTTCATTCACATGTGTTTGAGGAACCCTTTATTATTAGTCTCTCTACATTTCCAAAGCTCAAAATGCTCTGTTCCACCTTGTGATGTCACGTAGTGGTAGTTTTCAAGTTAACAGCTACATTTACCTTTTGTTTAAGGTGTATGGAGTTTAAAAAACAGTAGAGCACGTCCTGTATCACCAAAGGATGTCATAATGTAGATCAGAGTGTTTTCAGTTTGAGAGAAGAACTAACTGTGCAGGGTTGGTGTGTTAAACATGTGTGAATGAAACAAAACACAACTCCAGTCTGTTTGTGATGATGAAACTGCATTAGAACAGAGATAATATAGGTCGTAATATAGTTTCTTTAACAAAAGATTTACTGGGATCATCACACTTCAGTAGATTCAGTATTATCCTCCAAATGTGTTACTGTGACAGGCCTAGCAAGTGTCCATTTTGTGTTTCTGATGAACTCATTTGTCTGAAAATAAATTCCAATCAGCATGTCCTTGAGCAGATTCACTTAAGCAAAGATGTCAGATTTTGTATTCCTTTTGCAATCTAATAACTCATTAACTGAACAAAAGAATAATCACTGAATTCATCGATTAGAAAATGACTCATTAGTGCAGCCCTTCCTGTGCCCAATTCATTTCCAAAATGACAGACACAGCAAAAACTTGTAGCACAGAAAAAAGTGCAAGCGCTTGGCTGATCTGTGAGAATCCAACAGTGTGTGTGGAGAGGTCCCAGGACACAGGGGGCGTATGGCTGGCCACATGAACAAACACAAATATGGTCCTCGCACACGTACATTTTTAAGTCCTTCCATTAAAGTCCCAGATGTGGAGCCTAGTGCAGTTGACCGAGTGCCACTGTGAGTGTGACTTCAGCGGGTCACATCTCCATGGCCTCCTCCCCCTGGCTCCCCGGGCTGGGCAAGGGCATGGGCACGGGGGCGGGGCAGCTGTACAGGGGGGAGAGGGGGGGGTCTCTGTGAGGGGCCGGGGAGGGGCAGGGTGTGGGGGGCTGCCGGGGCCCGCTCTGCTGCTGTCTGCGCTGCCTCTGGAGGGACTCCTTTAACCTGTGGCTCAGGGGGTCCTCTGGGGGCCGCCACAACACCAGCTCCATGCACGAGTGGCTCCTGGAAACAACAGCACACGTCAGTGACTAATGTGTTCAAGTAAACTCCATTTTAATTGGTTGCATGCACATAAAGAACCAATAAGAACTACATCTGCAATTTCAGGGCAGACATTTTCAGATTCAGAAAAGATTCAGATTTTAAATTTGACAAACTTGACCAATTTGTGTCCCCAGATATGAGATAAACATGTCCAAATCAAATAGAGCTTTTACTGATAAGAAGCATTATATTTGTTAATTGCAAAAACATCAACACAATTATTCAATCAGAAAGCAGAATGAGCCTCACATAAGTCTTTCCTTTGGGTTGCCAGGTTCACTGTTGAAATCCAGGTTAAACCTAAAAGTATAACTCAATAATAACAATAACAATGATTATAATAATAATATAAATTATTATTATTATCACTATTATTTATTATTACTATTCGTATTATTATTGTTATTATTATTATTGTTATTATTATTATTATTATTATAAAAATTCCAGAATAATTACATCTTTGTAAAGACTATCAGGAGGCTGTCGCTCTATCCAAGTGACATAGTGCATCTTATCCAATTACTGGGCATATCCACAAAAACACAAAGATCTGTCTCCTCTGCCTAAATGTTGGTGAGTATTGGTCATCTGAACCCTTCTAGTTAATAAAGGTCGTCATACTACGACACTGACCAGTATTTGCCACACACACCCTTACATATGAAACACTGCAAACATATATTAGTAGACCTGCACATAGTGTGTGATCCTGTATAGATAGTGTGGGTTGTGTGGCTGGAGTGGGACTAAATGACGGAAATTGTCATATTTATTACAGTTATGATTTTGCTGTGTCTTGTTCATAATATGCATTGTCCAAAATACAAATGCTTCTAATATCAGTGTTCCTATCACAGTTGTGAGTTGCTGCAGCAGAATAAGTGGTGAGGCGTGAACACGTACACAGACTGGGCCACAGTGTGAGGCAGGATGTCACTCAGTCCTCTCTGCAGACCCTCCTTCAGACTGTCTGACAGTACCAGCACCGGCCTCCGGGGGCACACCTCCACCTCCAGCTCTGAGTCCGAGTCGTCCTCCAGCGTGATTCTGAAACACACACACTCATGTGAGCGGGGCCGAGCGGGGCCGAGCGGGGCCGAGCGGGGCCGAGCGGGGCCGAGCGGGCCGAGCGGGGCCGAGCGGGGCCGAGCGGGGCCGAGCGGGGCCGTGTGGAGTAAACAGCCTGGTATCATACCCTCTATGCTCACTGGTATTTACAACTTAATACATCAGTGGACAGATTTGTAAAAGTTAAAGGTTGTATAGAGGATTTTCCAAGGAACGAGAAATCCAGCGACTGTTTGTCCTTTTTCAAATGTTGCGCATGCGTGAAACCACCTCCCCTACAGCTCCCTACGTAGAAACGCCTCCTCCTTACGCCAGAAACAGGTTTGTTTACAGCCGGTGCGCTGCACATGACTTGTAAACAACTAACTACAGTGTTGGTTAGGCAAGACGGAGAAGTGAGGAGCGGGGGGAGGGGGTGCGCGGACATTTCGTGCACGGACGAGAAGTGAGGAGCAGGGACAAGAGCGGAGCAGGGAGCAGGGAGAGGAGAGAGGAGAGGGGAGAGGGGAGCGGTGCGCGGAGATTCCATGCCCGGAGAAGTGAGGGGAAGAGCGGATCGGGCAGCGGGGGAGAGGAGCAGGAAAAGGGGTGCAGAGAAGAGTGCGCGGAGATTCAGTGTGAATGAACTAGCTACAACACGCAGCAGCAAGCGGACTCTTTCTTTGCCTTGAAAATTACGTTTTCAGACATAGGATATCGCTTTCGTGTCCTGAAAAACGTTTGACTAGCTCTTGGAAATAAAGTACGTTTTCATAATAAGCAGAAGTGACCTGTCCAGGAGTAATTTGGCGACCAATGCGTCAGTCTTTAGACCCTGCGTCTGCTTCAGTTGCGCCATCGCTGGAACGAATCTTCAAGAATCACCTTAGTTTGGCTTCGCTGCTTTTCCCCTTGTCTTCTTCTTTCAGCAATCTCAAAAACGGACTTTCTTTTGCGGCTAACTGCTCCTGGATTCTTGTCGCCATTGCAACAAACTTTGTGCTAACTGCGAGGAAGATATAGGTCAAAAAAAGCCGCTAAGAACTGTTGCGTTGGTGGAGTAAACAGCGTCTGTGCGGTTTGCGTTTGTGGACTGCGTGACAGACGTACGTAAACCACGTACCGGCGGCGCGCAGGCAAGTCAGTTACGCTAGAAACGTAGGGAGACTGATTGACAGCCTGTCAACTCACAGATAACGAGGCAGTGTCGTTATCTATTGGCAAATGTTTAGCCCCACCACATCCAGAATTGATGAATTTTTATTCTCTTTTTTTTGGTCATCATAATTACAAGGCTACTGCACCTCTATAATGCTATTATTGACAATTTGAAACAAAAAAAAATCCTCCATACAACCTTTAAGGTATGATTATACATAAATATACTTTAGCTGCAGACAGTGAGCAGTGCTCTCATTTTGTCACAAAGTGCTGCTTTTACAATAGACTGTTTGGGGGAAAAACAAATGTACTCATTAACAAAAATAAGAGGGGAAGCCCTGTTATGATCACTGTTTCTGGTCTGGTCTGGTCTGGTCTGGTCTCCAGTGGTGCTCCTACACTGGCACTGGTCAGATTCAAACCAAGATCTGATAATGAGCGAGTGATCTAGAGGGACCAGGATCAGAGAGAAAGCACATGATTTTGCGGTTTCCATATCATTTGAATCATCTCTGTGGAGTAAGACGGTTACACAGCTCCTTTACAGTGTACAGACCTGTCCTCGATCTCCCGCAGTCTCCTCTGAGCCGCCTCCACCTCCATGCAGGAGCTGTGGGGGCCTGGTACAGGCTGGGCGGGGGCCGTGTGAGCAGAGGGACAGGGCAGAGTGGGGCCACTAGCGGGAGCCACAGAGGAGCAGCTATCTCCCCTGACCCACTGCACTGATGGCTGAGGAGTGCAGCTGTCTGAGAGCGCCCCCTCTGTCTCCATGAGGCGTCTGCGTTTGGCACTGCACACTCTGAACACACACAAGTACAAAGTTTAGGGGGGTCTGGATTCAAAAGATTAAAAGGATTTCATTGTCATTGATTATGGGTCCATTCTTTTGAATATTTGTAAAACAGTTGAAATTCATTGAAAGGTTGAACATCTTGTGAGCAGTTTAATAGAAGGATAGAAAGAAAACAACTAACCAAAACAAACACAATTTTACAGGAAAGACTAAATAAACAGACACTAATATAGTTTTTCACTTACTCATCGTGTGCTCTCCGTCGGTGTTTCCTCAGACACCTGGTCTCCCAGCTGCAGGAGGGAGGAGAGGACATTACACCCCAGAACAGGTCACTAAGGCTAAAACAGGTCAAACAGACAGCATAAAGATCTGTTGAAGAAACATGCTAGTTTATGTGTGACACTATCAATTCTCAGGTGGAGAATCTCTCTTGTGCTGCTACCGCCAGTTTGAGGACAGAGGGTGTTATGTCTCTCTACTGACTGCACCAACAACACACCTCAAAAGATAACGATTCTAACTAATCACTCCAGTGCACTTTTTAAAATAACACTAACTTGTGTAAACTGCTTTGCACTTTTGGCATTTCTTGTCCCCGACAAGGTCCAGCTGTGAAGTGAAAACCATTTCAGGAGACTTCATCATGAAGCTCATGGAGAAAAGAGTTTGCTGAGAAAAGGGTGGATATTCTGAGGATTTGAATAAAAATTTAAAAAAATATATATTTTTACTGTTATTTTACTAAACTTTTTTCATATATATTTCTTGCATCATATATGTACTTGACGTCTTCCATATATATGACATGTGGAAAGTAAACTAAAATGCAGACTTTTGACTGGTAGTGTATTTTAGGGCTGATATAGTGGGGTGCTCTTGAACACCTTGGGGCTCCCCAGTAGAGAGGCCTTATAAACATGTTACATGTTAGTGTTAAAACAGTCGGCAAAGGATCAGATCCCAAACCTCTGTCTTTTTCAAGTATCTCCCTTTCCCCTCTTCAGTGAGCTGCACTATTTGTAGCTGTAGCATCTCAACGTTCCAACAGCAAAGATAAACCACAGTGCACAATGACTTCCCCAAAATGGCAGACAGAAACTCTAAAGTGATGTGAGTGACACCCTTATGCCCTGGACCCCTGCCCACCATCTGAAACGATGACATGACCAAGTGTAGAAGGTGAACCCAGCCTATTAAAAGCCCTGCGGACAGTACCTGTTGGAGAAGTGTGCGGGCTTGTGCAGGTGTGGAGCTGAAACTGGAGCTCCCAGGCTAAACTCGGGGAGGCTGCTGGGGGCACAGAAGGGGTACATGGGGGGCAGCAGACCCAGCTGAGCCACGGGGGCGGGCTGATGCATGCTAGAGCTGCCCGCTACAGTCTGCAACACAGCACAAGACAGGAGTGATTTTAGAATGCTAGATTCCTGACAGGACCACAGCACAGGAAAATATATAGAAATAAATACATAAATAGCAGAATTTAACACTTTAGTAGTTAGATCATGAATCACAGAATCACCTAATTATCATCATCTAATTAGCTACAGCTCAGATCTATCCTTATCCTTGTAGTATAGAAAAATAACTAATAAGTTCTCCACTAGCACAAGGAATATATTCTAGTATTCTAGTATTTATCATGGCAGCACAAAGTGAGACAAGAACACGGACTTTATAAACAACCAGGCCACTGCACTTTGACAAACCAAAATGAAAAGATACACCAAGTTCAATGGGCACAAGTACAAGCACAAGTTTGGTGACTATCTATTGTTTGTTTACCCTTTACTTTTAAAAGGGACACTCTGTAACTTTTCTATTGAAGGATACACCACCTCCCCTTTGTCACCAAGACTCTGATGTATCCAGAACAGGTTTGTAGAGCTCTATTTATCTATTAAACAAACAAGATGAAAAAAGTTGGGGGAGGAAATCATTTGTTCTTTACAGCGACATTTGATTAAATAAATACTTAAGTAATTGCAGCCTTTACACTTTGAGAATTGTGCCAACTCAAATTCAGACTCAGTTGAACTGTTGTAATAATGAGCAGCCTGAGATGACGCAATAGCTCTGCCAGAAATGTTCCACAATAAAGCATTATTCAATCACAAGTGGTTTAATTGTTCAAAACACCTTGAAAATCATGCACTCTAACTGTGAGACAGTTTGCCTCTACACAAATCTGAGCTGTGACTTGATCTGCTGGCACCTCTTGCCCAACCATGAGGAGGTAGACAAGTGTAATGCCATACTGAGGCTGCGCAATTAACTGAATTTTGATCGCAATTTCGTTTTGTGTGTCAAACAATCTCTAAACTTATATAATTGAGTTGAAATGATAAAGCTTAACCAAGTTTATTTTGGGATAGTTTTTATATAACTAAGTATATTTGGTTTATTTTTAAAAAATATAGAGACTGTAGAACAGCTGGATCTATAGTTTATTTATGAGTTTCTATTTATTCCAAGGTATATTTTTAGCCCACAGTTTTGTGTAAATTAACAATAACATTAACAATAACAATGTTATAGCGTTTGAATCAATCGTGATTTTAATATTGACCAAAATAATCGTGATAATGATTTTTTCCACAATCGATCAGCTCTATGGCTCACTGTGAAAACATTATCTGGATACAAGCAAGTGGAAACCTTCGACAAGAAAAGTTCCACAGTGCACCTTTAACATGAAATCAACACCATTCAGGAAAAAAACCTCAAAAACAAACAATGTTAACCCCAACTTGGTGAGAAGACAGTGTCTCAGAAGCGCCTGTTGAAGTTCTATTGTAAATGAGTTTGTAAAAGGTGGGCGTGTCAGATGTATAAAGAATTACGGCAAATCCAACACATTTCAACCACCAGCTTCAAACTGCAAACGCTCAGCAAACATGTAGCGTTAACTATTTTAATAATTAGCTGCAATAATCCAGGAGAGGTCATTGCGACCTCGTTTTAACTTTGTGTCCATAAAAGTGTGCACCTTTTAAGCACGCTCCCATATCCTCGACAGTTAGCGTTATAACATCACTGACAGCTGTAATTCAGATTATAATAGACAATAAGTGACGAGATAATCCAAGTTATAAATAGTGGATCTTTAACTCCAGACCTGTGCAGCTGTCGCTCTCTCGATGCTCTTGTATGGTGTTTTGGGACTGGTCGTGCAGGTTTGGCCCGTTTAAAATGCGATTCTTTCGTGCACAAAAGCGTCTGAAGTTGCTCGAAATGATCCCTGGTCGGTCGTAGGCCGATGCTGAGCAGAGAGGCCGGGGAATGAGCCGAGGTACGCAGTCTGTGGAGCTTTTGGCCTCCACTTGGCTCTCCCGCAGCGCCAGAACACTCCGCAAGCTTCTAGAAAGTGCGTAGTTCACGTAGACGTGTGGCATCATGGGTAATGTAGTTCTTATCAAACAAAGGCAAAGGATTTAAACCATTTTACAGATATTTACGCCATTTTAGACACAATAGAAAGATACAAACGACCGAAATAAATAATAATGTTCAGTGTCAGTGAAATTAATATTGTTTTATTTTATTTAAAAATTGTTTGAAATTCGCATGGGACTACGCTCACTTCCTGTTTACAATATCACGTGCCCATGTGCCGTTTAAGACCACAGTTGGGCGCTTTTGGAGCTTTGTCATCTCGAATAACAAGTGTCATGTGACCATAAAGAAAAGAGAGTGTCCTGTCCCGTGTGATCAGTCCCATGCGCGCTCAGGAGCAGATCTGTAACGCTCTGTGATCTAACGGGACGACTCTGCTGCACTTTTCACACACTCGGTTTGTTTTGTTGATGTTACTGCGCTCGTGTCTTTGAAAGCTGTTTTATTTTAACTAAAATGACTCAGACTAAAACTAGTGTATAATATGTTGTCGTGCAGGTGAAGGATCGTGTCCAGAATGGTTCCTCTGCTCATCCTCTCAGTGCTGGCGGCTGTGGTGTGTGGGCAGACATGCAGTAAGTGACATAAGCCTTTTCTTTGACTAAAAACCCTTTGCAGCTTTAAGGTTGACTATTGCCTATATTAGTTGTTTTATCAAATGGATTCACAGACCTCAGAGACACAGACTCTTGTAACATTTCCTATATTTTAAAAGAAGTGATAGACCTACATTTCTTATTACAGAGTCTGTGAAGTTTAATATTGAGTAATTCCTTTTGCGTCTGCTGGGGATCTCTGTGATTTTGTCATCACTTTGGTCTGTGTTCTTGTGCAGTGAACATAACTTTTCACTCTTTTCAAACTTTTCACGCAAGTATTAAGGAAACCACCAGAAGAACTAAAGTCTAAAGTCTGTATTTGAACCATTCCATGACTCAAGCAAGTCTATAACGGGGCTATTCCAGGTCTAACCTAGGGCTAAACTAGGGCTAAAAGTTCTAAACAAGAAATGATCAAAAGGAGTGGATAAAATGAACTCTAAATTAGGCAAACCCATAAACAGAAGAGCTGTCCCAATAGCTCCTGAAGGAGCCAGTCTTGGGGATTGTCATGTTAAAAATCACTGATTATTGTAGAAATGCCTCAGTGACCTCTTCCTCTTTGTGGAAATGCTGACCTTGCATACTTGCCTTTTACCACAGGACACTCTTGAAGGCTGTGGTATTGGTAGTAACACAAGAAGAGTGGATTATGGACGACAAGTGAGCAAATCCTAAAACATGATATTATTGTAAAGCTATATTACAAAGTAATCTACAGTTTTACTATACAGAACATGAGGGTGGGTTTACTTTAGTTTTGTTGTAGACTTGGTTTGGTCCTGTTCTAGTTTAGGTTTTTAGCTCAGGTTTAGCTCTGGGTTTAGTCTTAGTTTAGTCCCAGTTGAAAGTGGTGTGTCATGTGAAAGTAACAGGGCCATGGGGGGGACTCTTTTATGAGGCCCCGGTTAGAGTGGCACTTTTAAAGTCACATTTGAGTCTAAAGACTGTTCCACTCTGACCTCTGCTCAGGTTACCTCACTGTCTTTCTCACTGTCTCTCTGAGAGTGGCCTTTCTGACACGTCAACTTCATTGACCTATTTGTGTTATTTTCTGATCTCTTCTACTGTTGTTTCCTCATCACAAACAGACCTGGAGTTGTTTTTTTGTTTCATTCACACATGTTTAACACACAAACTTTGCATATTTAGGCTGAGCAAAAGGTAAAAGGAGCTTAGTTAACTTGAAAACTACCACTTAATGACGTCACTAGGTGGAACAAAACGTTTGGAACTTTGGAGATGTAGACAGACTAATAATAAAGGATTACTCCTGTGAATGAAACAAAAGTCAGCTTCATGTTTTTGAGAAGCTAACGGCATTAAAACATGTGTTAAAGCTCACAAGAGTCAGTGTTGTGTAATGTAGTGCCTGTACATCTCTTCTGCGGTGCTGTAGACTCCCGGGAGAACAGTGAGCTGCTGCTGTCTCTGAACAAGGCTCTGCTGCGCTCAGTGGAGAATCAGGAGCAGCTGCCGAACCCTAGTGTGCACCTGGCCCTGCGCCTGTCGGACCTGCACAACCAGGCGCAGGAAAGTCTGCACCTGCAGCGTCTCACCAGCCAGCTGCATGCCCACATCCAGAGGTCAGAGGTCACGCCACAGAGCAGGTTACATGCTCCACAGTGGGACTATGTCCCTCTCTCACAGAGCAGGGCAGGGGGTTGTTTTTCAGGGTTTATCGCCAGAGGTGGGTAGTACTCAGTTATATTTACTCAGTAACTTTATAAAGGAATTTTACTTTTCAGAGCACTTTACTTGAAGCATACTTTTACTCAACATTACTCAAGTGAGTAATGTTTTTCACTAAAGTATCTTACTTGCTTACTTGAGTAAAAGTGTTGGTTCCTCTTCCCACTGTAAGTCTGCAAGAGACAAAAGCTTTATGTGACAAACTGAAATAATTTGAACATTTGTGTTTCTTGCGGCTCCTTCAGATATGATTTAGTTTGTCTCATTTTTGTTTCTGTCTTTTGAAAAGACCAGATTTTGTGCATTTACTTGAGTACACATTTTGGCTACTCCACTACCTCTGCATGTCTGTAGAGTCACAGCATTATGATTTGATGAGTGCACCTTCAGAGAACATCCAAACTCTACAGTAGACATGTCAAACTAAGGCCCCTGGGCCATAATTTAACTTGACCCGTGAGATCATATCAAATATGTATTAGACTTGGCCTCCCGGTTACACATAGGCTATAGAGACATTATTTATTTAAAATGTTGTTATTATTTTACATTATGCTTGTTATGGATTCAATGTTTAAATAAAACTATTATTAAACATTTATTTTAATAAGAAAAGGTTTAACATTACATATCTTGAAAGAAGAGAAAACGTGCAGTTGTTGACATTTTTTAATAAATATTTAGTTTGGCCCACAACTTTTAATTTTGGCCTCAGTTTGAGATTGACACTTCTGCTCTACAACAATCGCAGCTGACTGTTGTGGTTTTAAAACAATGAAAGACTTAAAAGCCACACTGATTTACACTAAGACTGAGGGTTTATAGAGCGGTGTAACGTCATCTGAACCACAGCCTACACTTAGTAAAACATCCAGGCACTAAATGTGTATGTATTTGGATGTAAATGTGTATGTCTTGTGTGTGTCAGCTCTCTGTCCCAGGCCCCCTCCTCTCCTCAGACCCACCCCTCTCCTGGTCTCCTGGCTCTGTATGTTTTGGCACTCAAGTCGTCCTGCTACGACCTGAGCACCGTCACCTTCACAGTGAAAGGTCACACAGTCACTCTGCTCAACCTGCTCAAGAGCACCATGCAGCGGGAGAAGGAGGAGATTACAGGTACACTCTCCACCTCAAACACTGTCACATCTGAAAGGCAGCCATTAGCAGCTCCCAAAGGCTACATTTTATTTAAATTATTATTTATTTGCCTTTTTACCTACATGTTTATAAAAGTCACTTTGATGGGCTTTACAATAATTTCTCATGAGGATGAACTACATGGATGTGTGCATCGCTCTGAGTGGAGTTCTACTCATGATGTATCTGGGATCATTCTAACTCTGATTTTCGAGTGGATTTGAAATTCCTGGGAAAGTGTGTTTAAAGAAGAGTTTGAGTTTTATACCACAGACATCAGCAAAACTGTGTCCCAGCTATGAGGTAAACATGTTCAAATCAAATACAACTTTTACTGAGAACTATTGTAATACCAATTTATTCTGAATTACAAAAATATTGGACATGATGGACCAGTTGTTTATGTTATAATTTAGTGTTTTATTTCATAAGATGATTATACAATCAAAAAGCAGAATGAGTCTCACATGAGTCTCTCATTTGGGCTGCCAGTTTCAGAACCTCAGGGCCTCAGAGCCTCAGGGCCCCGGGGCCTCAGATCGTGTCCTGATCCGTTCACTGCAGGTTAACACACTCGTAAAGTGGAGTTGTACCACTTCTTCTGTCACAGCACTTTTCAAATGTGTTTAATCATTTAGCTCTGGATTATGTCAGTGGTAACGGTTACATGGATCATGTGTGGACATTGGATCAAAACCTACATTACACTCTCTTTTCCTCACTATTATTCAGAAATAAAAGAATGAGCCTAGGGATTTCTCCATATTTTGAAATGATTCTTCAGTAGAAATTAATGTATACTGTATACATTTTTATTTTTTTTTTTACTTTACAGTATAAGCTACTCAGCATCAACATGAAAAGCACTACTACTGCCAGCAGAGGGCGCAATCACAATATATACACTCTTGATCTCTGGAAAATGTCAAATGTTTCCTCATATCATCAGAATCTTGTTTTCTTTGCTGCATTTACACATCGTCTCAGTAATCCAGTGTTTTCAGGCTTCAAAAGACGACATCTCACTGCACAATTAACCAGATCCAGGAAGTGCTTCTTTGTGTTTTTAAAGGTCACACACATCTAAATGTCCCTGTGTCTCCATGGGGTCTTATTCTGTGTAAAAGCTGCTAACCCAGTAGTTTAGACCTGTTCCTCTCCACCTCGAACATGTCCTCGTATTAGTTTGGCAGTTCATAATTTAAAACTTATAACACTAATGTTTTTGTGCCGTGCTTCCACAGTGAGCCAGCACAGCCGTCCCTCCACAAACTACTACCAGTACTCCCTGGGGGTGCTGGCCCTGTGCGTGGGCGGGGTCAGGGTGGAGCACCATGTCCTCCATAAGCTCGTGAAGGCTGTGGAGCAGGATCATCTGAAACACGGAGAAGCTGAGTGTGCGGGTGAGTGTGTGTGGCATTTGTTTACTTTAAAGCTGCTCCATGTAACTTTTCTCAGTGGAGAAATAATTTCTTCATGTTTTGCCTATAATGTTCCACAGTCTGGCATTAAACATATATACATTATGTCTGTGGAGACAAATAGGTGATACCACCAGGGCAAGTTTCATATCAGATCTGTGGAGAGATAACCCTACTGCAGTAAGAATGTCTTTTAAGGTATTTTTATACAAAATAGATTTAGTTTACCATATTGTGCAACATTCCAGGCAAAGCCTTGAGATCTCCATGGAGACAAGCAAGTGTTGGATTCAGCACCAGAAAAGTTACACAGGATTCCTTTAATGAAAGTTTTAGTTGCTTACTTATCTTATCTCAACCCTACATAACTCCGCCCTGTGTCCCTCAGACTCGTACGCCATGGCGGGGATGGCCCTTCAGTGCGTCAAAGACTCTGGGGCCCACGTCCTGAGGGCCCATGAGCTGAGCATAGCACTCACAAAGATTCAGAACAAGCTGTTAGCAGCACGCAGACCTGATGGCCACATCGGCAATGAGTACAGCACCGGCCTGGCAGTCCAGGTACGACTGACACAGAATCTTTTCATGGATTTTAGGTGTCATTTTTAGAGTTTTTCTTTAGTTTGTAAAATATATGTATTGATGTGGGGGTATTCTTTGTATAAAGATGTTAAGTGGGTAATATTGACAAAGATGAATATCTCAACATCCCGACTATAGTCAGAAGATATTTTGGCAAGAACATTCCCATTATTAATTACTGACTGAATGTGTGCTCCACCTCTCTGCTCTAGAAGTGAACACTCAAATCTTGTGTTTGCTGTACACGTCTGTGTTTTACACTGAGCTGTGTGCTTTGTCAGGCCTTAGTGGCGATGGGCCAGCAGGTGCCTGAGTGCTCCGTGTATCTGGAGGCTCTGAGGAGAGATGCCCGCAGCAACCTGTACCACAACCCCATGGCCCTGTCCCAGCTCCTGCCCGCCCTCCACCTGCGCTCCTATGTCTCCACCAGGACCAAGCAGTGCCTGGCTGAGGACGGTAAACCCCACACACCTGCACTCAACACACTCCTGTCTAATACTCAGGAAACCTGTATATGTAAATGTCCTTTTCATTTTGTACTGGATGATATGCTGCTGACACTATGACAATGAGTCATATCTGATGTAATATTTGGAGCCCTGGTAGGTTTGTAACAGTCTGTAGCAAAGCAGAGGATCTTTAAGACGACCCTCACCGGACTGTCACAGACAGTTCCTATACAGTCCTGTATAGGAATGTGACAGTTACTAATAATTATATTGCATTTCAAAAGTCTCATCAGTAAACTACCTTAAACCACATGTAGTGCTCTTGGGCAAGACCCACCTTGGCTTTTATAACTGTGGGTGAGTGTTGGTGGTTGAAGGGGCTGATGTCACAGATCGGCAGCATCACTTCTGTCAGGCTGCTCCAGGACAGCTGTGGCTAAAGGTAGCACCAAGAAAGTGTGGGATAAATATGTATTGAAAGACGCTGCATAACTCCAGTACATTATTAGTGTTAATATAACTCTCAGTGAGCTTTCTGACACACTGCCCAAAAGCATGCATGCACATTTAGTACACACTCCCACACTGAGCAGTTTTACCCTCTCATTATCATAACTGTGTGTTTGTGTGTGTGTGCGTGAGCAGACAGCCTGGTCCTGGACCCCCCTGAGCCTGTGATAGAGGCTACTGTCCGGCCCAAAGTCTCTGTGTCGGTGACAGTGCAGCGCTCAGACGGGGCACAGAGGTCGTACAGTGTGGACGTGCCTCAGGGGAGCTCTCTGCTGCAAACACTGGAGCTGCTGGCCACAGAGAACGATAGTTTCACGTGAGTTCAACAGTTCAGAAGCAGAATCCAGCTGATAGGAGTTCCGTTTGCTAAAGTGTGTGTAATGTTACTGCAGGTTTGAGAAAGAGTCCAGTCTGTGGGGGCCCTTCCTCAGTGTAGTGAATGGAGAACAGGCACGGCAGAGCGACCGCAGATACTGGCACCTGTCAGCAGAGGGAGCCAGCCTCACACAGGGTAAGTATCACTTCTACATACAAACTACTAGTACAGGCAGGTACATTAACGCCATCCATTTGAATCCTTAAAAGAGATCAGTTTAAATGAGCTTTGAACTGAGATCATAAACGTAGTGTAGAGTTTTCAACTGATGCATGTTTGAGTAATCCTGTATTGCACTGCATTTGCTTGAGTTACCTTAAATTTTTTTTTTTTTTTAATGTAGCCCTTATCTCCTCCCACAGCCCTGTATAATTATTATTATTATAACACCCTGTCATACATGTGAATTATTTTTTGTTTTCAATTAAGAATTCATTTGACAATTTTGAACAGGAAGTCAATGGGCCTTTCTCTATTTTTAAGACATTTAGGTCAATATTGTGTTTAATAAGCATCATCTTCAGCTAGCAAGTTCAGCTGATTTCTGTAACTAGCACCAGCCTTTTGCCTTTTAGGTATCAGCGATTACAAGATTGAGACACCTCAGAAGATCGTCATTAAGAACACGAGCTACTGAACACAGCTCTGCTCCAGGCCGATGACTGCTTTTGTGAACTCTCTCTCTAGTTTTTTTTTTTTTTTTACACTGAATGACTTGTCAAAAGGGAAATAATGTAAATGAAAGTGCATTTATTTTTTAACTAACTGAATTTTAATTAATAAAATGTATAAATAAAAAAGTTTTTAAAGTATTTATTTAGTTTGTTAGCTGTTTATTATTGTTGAAGATTCAGTAGAAATACATAGATTATTATTATTTTTTTTACTACAGAACAACAACCCTTTTTCTATTTTAATAATACCTTTCTAGCATACTATCACTATTACTTCACTAATATTTAATAGTACTCTTACTTGAGTAAAGGTTTTGGTTACTCTCCCCATTGGGAGTAAATTTACAGTGACAAAAGTAAGTAAGTTGTAATTTACAACTTAGCTCTTTTCACAGACGTATGTCACAAAAACGCTTTACAGAACATGATTCATTCACTCCTAATACCCGGTGGTGGTAAGCTTCTATTTAGCCACAGCTGCCCTGTGGCAGACTGATGGAAAAAGCTTTATCTTTACAATATTAACTTTAAATTATAAATCAGATGTTATGTCCTGGCTGGTAGTCACTCTTACTTACTTGAGTAGTACTTTTCCTAGATAGTCTACATCTTTTTCACTTTCTTGAGTAATTTTTTGGTACTTTGTAGTACCGGAGTAATATTATTTTGAAGTAATGTTAGGTTACTCTTACTTGAGTACATTTTTGGCTACTCTACCTACCTACGACATTCAAAGTAAATAAATAAATAAGGGGAAAATCAATAGGAAATTTAAAATGTGATTATCAGGGATATTAAATAAATATAATGTACAAATTACAAATGATAAAGTGATCATTATTGTTTAGGCACAAAACAATAAATAAATAAATAAATAAAGTAAATTGAGGGCTATTAATATGAAATTCTCGCACGGCACCGGAAGCATTAGTCAGCGCACTTCCGCTGTACCCGCCTCCCCATGCGCACCGGTGTTTACAAGTTTTTCAGTGTCGTTTAGTGTTAAATTAAATATTATTTCCACTTTTTTCAAGAGTGAGGTGAGCTTTTACGCTTATAACATGACCAGCACTCTGGTTTACGCCTCGTTAGCCTAGCCGTGCCGCCTTCATCCAGTGTCCAGTCCGTAAAAGCCCGGGGCATGTGGAGGAGAAGCGCTCTCAGACTAAACTTCCCCGCGTGTTTCGTGCCGTTTGTCAGGTGTGGAGGGAATGCTGCTCCGGTCCTCCGGTCCACGACCCGAAACATCCCCAAACCTGAGCCCCAGAGCCGGAGCATGGCGCAGGAGGTAGCCCGCAGCAGTGCGAGTGGGACATCCGCGAGTGTGGAGGGGAGAGCCCGCGTCAAGAGGGTGTCCATCGAGGGTAACATCGGTAAGGAGATGATGGCACTGTTCTGCTCTGTACTGCATGTGTTTGTCAAGCAGAGGTAAGTGGCATTAACGGTTCAGCTGTCTCATCATTTCACATACTTCTACCCCATTATATATACGTTGGAAAATCTTAGATAAATCTTTTTTCTCTCTGAGATGTGTAGTACAGTAGTAAATTTTTCCAGGGCTAAACCAGATCTAAAAGTGGACTAAACTAAAATATCAGTCAGTCATTTCATGCCACATCATCCAAACCTATACCACAACCACCACCACGACCACAACAGCAACAACAACAACAACAACACCTCTATATGGTGCGAGTACACTTTGGCAGAACCCTGATCCTCTTGGCCATCACATTTTTTGAACAACAGGCACCGCTGTGTGTACTCTAATGCCTACTGTAATGCGTCTGTGTTTGTTCTGCTGTGTTGTTGCTGTATATGTCAGTCGAGCTCTGTGTGCCTAAAAATGAATTTTCCCTTGGGGACGATAAAAGTTTAAAGTCTAAAGTAACACAGTGTTGTTGTATTTCTGAATGTTCAGCTGTTGGGAAGTCCACGTTTGCCCGCCTGCTGCAGTCAGCCTGTCCAGACTGGGAGGTGGTGCCAGAGCCCGTCGCTAAATGGCAGAACATCCAGAGTGGAGCTTCTGGGGTGAGTGAACTGTTCTTTAAAGCCCCTGACCTGGGTTTAGGGTTAGGGCCTCTGGCTGAGTTTATGTGGGCACTCTAAATTTGATTATTATCAGATTCATGGAGTTAAGACGGATGGACGGATGGATAAAATGCAGTGGGGGAGCGTGCATTTCACACCTAGGCCTTCAGTAGTGCTCCATCTGAAACAAACCACTCCTCATTAACTATTTTATAGTTACATTGTACACAGTATAAAGAGCCATGGAGATTCTGTGCACGGAGAAGTGAGGAGAGGGGGGTGTGCGGTGCACAGAGAAGAAGTGAGGAGCACTGCGGTGCTAAACCAGAACTAAACCAGGACTGTTTGTCGGGACTGACCCGAAGGTGCACCCGCATAGACTGTCAGGTTACCGCAGACAAAAGGACTGCGCCGGGGCCGGGGCTCCGCGCTGCACAGAGCACCCGCCCCCACAGCCGCATGGGGCTCAGTGCAGCTGTCGCCTGATCGCGCTTTCTGGACACTCTCACTCACTTGCTCTCTCGCTCAAATCCAAGATTAGTCCTGGTGTAGTCCTAATTTAGACCTGGTTTAGAACTGGAGTAGTCCTGGTTTAGTCCTGGTTTAGTCCTGGTTTAGTCCTGGTTTAGTCCTGGTTCCGCTACAGATGCAGTTTGCTGATTTGGCTGGTTCGCTCTCTGACTGTCCAATCAGCGGGTGTGAATCCGGTGACGTCGTATGTGTGCTAAAGGCCCTGGCCACACCAAGTCAAAATCTGATTGTTTGAAGCAACAGTTTCATGGACATTTCATATGGGTATTTTGTGTTCGAGGGCCTTCAGAACGGATTGTGAAGGCCTCAGGCATAGTTCTTTGACTTTGACTCTGCCTAGCAACAAGTGACGGCTGAAATGTGATTGGTCAAATGCTTTAATATGAAATGCATGTGTGGAACCAGCACAACCATCGGAAAAGCTCTGAAAGGAAGAGGACAGAACATTTGGAATTATTTAATAATAATACAATTAACATCAGTTTGTGATTCAGATATTTTATTTAGGCCAGCAGAGAAGGCCTTGCAGGCCTCGACACCCCACTACTGTTAACTTTATAAACATTTTATTATATTTTATCTGTATGTTTCCATGGAAATAGAAAGTTAAAACCATACTCTGGAACATTCTCCATAGACACAGATACATTTTTTGCCTCCACTCTGACAAATCATTCTATTATTTTTACTGAGGCACTGGGGATTCACAAAGAGTTGCACATGCATGTAAGTAAAAATAAAACATGAATAAAAGCATAAATGCATGTGTTTTGTCAAACAAAACAACATGTAAGTGAAGTGATATTTCTTCTTTAAATTTTTTGTGGAATGATGTTGAACAGAACCTCAAGACATTGTCAGGCATGATTTAGCACTGAGATTGGTATGTGATCATCTTAATGACATCAGTGAAATCATTTAAATAAAGATTTCCATTTAAATGATGAGTCTCCACCTACAAGTGCTGTCAGATACTAATTAATACTAAAACTAGAACAGAAACTAGATACTCATTTGAGCAGGTATCAACACTAAAAAATGTTGACAGTCCAGAGCAGAACCTTTCCTGAACAGCTTTAGAATGATGATGAGCTGTACAAGAACAAGTAGAAGACACATAGACTAGTATACACACATGGACCAACATGAACCTACCTGCACCACTGAGGATTACACACATACAACACACATGGGAAGAGAAAAGAAAGTTCTACCATTTAATGAAAAAAATCACATTCTATTGTCCAAAGAATCATTGTGGTATTGTATTATCGTTGTGGTATTGGAATCAGTGTTGAGTGTCAACTCTATTCCTCAGAATCAAAATGGAGTTTGAAGTTTTAGTTTTGTGACAACGCTACTACGTAATATACATTTCTAAATTACATGTTCATTAGTGAGAGAAACTTATCAGATCCAACCGGTCAAACCAGATGGGCTGTCTTGTGTAGTGTGTGTGTCTGTTCTATGTGTGTGCGTGTGTTCTGTGTGTGTGCGTGTGTGTGTGTCTGTGTGTGCAGGGGGGCTCTGAGTGCTCTGTGTGTGCGTATGTGCATGCAAGGGTGCTCTGTGTGTGTGTGTGCAGGGGCGCTCTGAGTGCTCTGTGTGTGTGTGTGTGTGTGCTGGGGGCTCTGAGTGCTCTGTGTGTGTGTGTGTGTGTGTGTGCAGGGGGCTCTGAGTGCTCTGTGTGCGTGTGTGCATGCAAGGGTGCTCTGTGTGTGTGTGTGTGTGTGCAGGGGCGCTCTGAGTGCTCTGTGTGTGTGTGTGTGTGTGTGTGCTGGGGGCTCTGAGTGCTCTGTGTGTGTGTGTGTGTGTGTGTGTGCAGGGGGGCTCTGAGTGCTCTGTGTGTGTGTGTGTGTGTGTGTGTGTGCAGGGGGGCTCTGAGTGCTCTGTGTGTGTGTGTGTGTGTGTGTGCAGGGGGGCTCTGAGTGCTCTGTGTGTGTGTGTGTGTGTGTGTGTGTGTGTGTGTGTGCTGGGGGCTCTGAGTGCTCTGTGTGTGTGTGTGTGTGTGTGTGTGTGTGGGGGCTCTGAGTGCTCTGTGTGTGTGTGTGTGTGTGTGCTGGGGGCTCTGAGTGCTCTGTGTGTGTGTGTGTGTGTGCTGGGCTCTGAGGCTCTGTGTGTGTGTGAGTGCTCTGTGTGTGTGTGTGTGTGCAGGGAGGCTCTGAGTGTTCCGTGAGTAACCTGCTGCAGATGATGTACACCGACCCCCAGCGCTGGTCCTACACCTTCCAGACCCACTCGTGCATGAGCCGCATGAGGACACAGCTGCAGCCCCCAGCCCCTCGCCTGCTCCAGACACAGGGGGGCGCTATGCAGGTGTACGAAAGGTCCATCTACAGTGACAGGTACCGAGGGTGGGCTACTCTGATACAGCTGTGCATCAGACAATAGTGTTTTACAGTGTCATATCTGTCGCTATAGAAAAGTACCCGGCAGTCTCAGCACAAAGTAATGTTCATGACAGTTTGTGCAAACACAAACTGAAGCTTGCATAATAATTACTTCGAAAGTCCATAAAAGTTGCTTACAAAGTCCATTAAGTCCATAAAAAGTTTCTTAGAAAGTCCAGCTTCACTGTGGCTTTGTTGGCATCACCCCCTCCCCTTCAGCAGCATTACTGACAACTTTACTGAAATGCACAGATTTAGCACCTTCTGAAAGTCTGCATCATTAGCCCAGTCTGCTGCTGGGATATTGTTCAAAATGTTTTTGGCAGATCAAGAGCTTCAAAGAAAAGCATCAAAATTCCTGATAATCTGCTTGATTAAGAGCATCCCGTCACTCTGGTGGAACCTTTGAACCTTCCTTATTATTGTGACATAATTATCACAAATATTCTGTCACACTGGAGTCGAACTCCAGGCCAATCATTTCTACACTCAAGTACGAAAGATGTTGGCCAAAAGCTGTTAAGGCTGCTTTCTTGACACCAGAATTTTCATACTGTGACAACTTCTGGAGGAAAACCAAATCATTTGCAGGAGCTTTCTCTGGTGATGGGGCTTCAAACATACTCTGATGCAGAGGCTTGCCACAAAGAGAAGAAAACGTGCTGTGCTAGTGTGAGTTTGTCCTTAAAAGAAAGAGTAATTGGTTATAGTGAAGCCATTCAGTTACTAACGCAGTTATGTTTTGGGAGAAGTAACTAGTACGTGTAACTATAACTAATTACTTTTTCAAAGTAACATGCCCAACACTGCTGAAAACGAGTAAATTTCCAGGAAACTTCATGCAGCTTGAGCAACCTCTAAAACATCTCCTTTTTCTTCCACATTTCTTCCTAAATCATCTTTTGGATGCTAAAACCTAATGCAGGTTCTAGTCGAGGTCTGAAACTTTATTTTTTACCTTGCACCATGCACCCTTATAACCTGGCTCAAAATGCACTTTTACTTAAAGAGCAAATGCTGTGTTGCAGGTACATCTTTGCCCTCAACTCCTTTGAGCTGGGCTCTATCAACTCCACTGAATGGGCCATTTACCAGGACTGGCACACTCTGCTGGTGCAGGAGTTTGGCCAGAGGGTGGCGTTAGAGGGCATCATCTACCTACGAGCCCCTCCACAGGTCTGGACCATAGACAAGTATTTACATAGACAGTAGTAAAAGTTTTGGTACAATGTGGACATCTGGCTAAAATATTTGAGAATTAGCTAAAAAGGTCACTAATAACGTTTGGCAAAAGAGTCGTACTAAGATACTCAAGATACAAGTTTTGTCAAGTAAATTTACTCAAGTAGACAAAGTACTACAAAGTAGTGGTCCAGGAAGGTGCTGTTACACTGTACAATATACTTCTCAAGTAAGAGCAAACATATGCTGTTTGAGACATACAGAGAAGTATAATTGTATGATTTTAAAATTACTTGAGTAAACACAAGTGTGTGTTACTAGGTACTATGAACCCCTGCTTTTTGTGTATCTGTTGGACCTCAATAATTCAAACATTATCCTCATATATTGACTTACTTACAGTATGAGCAGCAGCGTCTCAAAAAAACCATAACAAATCTCAACTAGTTTTAAAAGTTTTATTTATTCCAGACTGGAGTTTGGTAAATGTAACTGATTAAGCTAAGACAATACAGTGTTAGGTTGGTATCATGACGTATAGTATTATTATCAAAACTGGGAGACAACCTGTGCACACTCATGAGGACCTACTTGGGGACAAAAAACACCTTTATTATTAGATCAACCACATGATTTAAAGTTCAGATCTGAGTTAAAGTAGGTTCAGGTTAGTGTTTATGCTAAGGTAGGGACTATGGTTAAGGATTGGATCAGTTTCCAGGAAATGAATGGGAGTCTATGTAATGTCCAAAACCAACCATGTCCTAATTGTGTGTGTCAGACGTGTATGGAGCGTCTGAAGATCCGAGCAAGGCCAGAAGAGGGCGCCGTACAGCAGGAGTATCTGGACAAACTGCACGTTCAGCATGAGCGGTGGCTGCTGGATAAGAGCACAGAGTAAGGACACTGCTTTGAGACACCTGCTATTGTGTATCAGTGTGTCCTGGAGGTTCTTTCACTTTCACAACACTCAGTGATTTCAAAATCTGATCATTGTCTGATTACTGAAATGTCATGGTGATTCTCAGAGTTTAAACTCTTAAAATGACATGTAAACAACAAAATCATCTGTTTTCTTTCAGAGCACGGTCACTCTGATTTTAAACTGTTAAAGATGCAGAAATCAGATAATAGCCAGAGTTGATGTGCATGTAAACATAGCCAGTTACATCTGATGTTAGTAGTCTGTGTTCACACCTGTGTTTGACAAGCACAATTCTGGGTTCAGTTCTGGTGCGGCACAGGGCCTTGTTCTCTCAGAGCTTGTGTAGTTTTCCTTCGAGTGCTCCAGTTTTTCCTCTGACAAAAACATGTACAACAGGCTCCTATCCTCGGGGACCAGGACTCCCCTGAAAAAGAGACCCTTAATCTCAGCGGGACTATCCTGATTAAATGAAGCTCAATAAATAACACTTCCATGCCCTACTGCTGAGTGCAGGTGGGTCAGTTTGTCCAGAGGAGGAGCAGTGCTGTGTGCAGCCACTTTAGCCTCATCTGTGTGTGTGTGTGTGTGTGTGTGTGTGTTTTCAGGGTCCATTTTGAGGCTCTGCGCAGGGCCCCTGTGCTGCTGCTGGATGCCAGTGTGGAGTTCAAGTCTGATCTGCAGGTTCAACATGACTACATCTCTAAGGTTTGTCTCCATGGAAACGCAAAGACTGCAAAGAAACATCCACACTTCATATCTATCTATCCATCCATCCATCCATACATATATCCATATGTATGTGTATACATATGTATGTATATATAATATAAATAAACCAAAGACGCTGTGCAGATCTCCAGTTTAACAGCATGTGCTCCGTGAGGAAAATAAAGGTCAGGTATGAGCACCAAACTGACTCATAAGCCAACTATAACAGCTTGTATCTGTCATCATAAGAGCCAGTTACACCCACAAGCAGCGATGACTAAACCTGTTCTTTGGTCATGTACTTTACCTGGAACATGTGATTACACACATTCATTATGAACTACAATTTCTAGACTTCAAATTTAGCTAGTTGGGTTTTAAAATAAATTCATTTGGATTTGTAATTAAATATGTGTATAATGTGTTTCTTTGCCCAGGTGAGAGACTTCTTCAGCTCTTTATGAGAAGATGGTCTCAGTACAAAATATACTGTACTCAGCTGATGAAGATACTGTACAAGTATAATAAGCTTCTCCTCAGACTGCACCTGTCTGAGCCGTTACTGCTCTTACTCTCTGTACATACATTCACATGTTTTATGTTTATTTAGCTCCTTTATTGTAAGCTCAATGAAAGCTGTACTCTGACCACCGTTACTGACCTCACTGTTACACCACATTAGATTTGTCAATGACATGTTTGATACATTCCTTTTAACAATAAATTTAGATTTTAAAAATTTTAATTGGCTTTCTCTTTTTTTGTTTTATTTTGACATATTTTTATATTTAGTCAAAATGTAGAATATAGAAAGTTAAGTTTGCAGCTTATTTGTGCCAACATATTTGACCTGTATTCAGTAAATGCAGTAATTATTTTCTGAGGGACTAATGCAACTTGGACTTTTTGGAGCTTTCTAAAGTGTTATAACCCTCATCAAACCATCCCTAAACAAGGTTTTAAAGGCATCTTTCCTCAGCCCCAATTTGAAACTTACACTTTGCAGTACGATTCTGTGCAATGCTCCACCCACAATTCTACATCATCCATGCTCCAAAAGAATACACATGCACAAACCTGATGTGATGTGCAGTAGTTTCATTAGCGGGATGCACACTGATTGTTGTGTGATGGCGCTCTGAAGGGGAAGTGACTTAGCAAAGGGAAGCAGGGACTCAGAGCGTCAAAAACAAAAGTGAGACTTATTATTTGTTAATACATAGATTTTTGCAAATATAGCAATATAGTTATCAGAATATGTCGTGTGTAACAATTAATAACCCAAAGAAATGCCATAATCCTGCTTTTAAAAGTTTTATATAATTAAATTATTTATAATACAAATAAAACCAAAACACTTGAATAGTGCTTACAATCCGCCATTTTCACCCAGGTCCTGTTTCATTTTAAATCCAGTTTAGACCAGATTTGGTCTTAAATAAGAATCAAAATGTTATCAGCATGACTGGGTTCACTCATTTACATGTTCAGTGTGACTTATTGTGAGTTTCTGCCAGTCGCCTGCTTTGTTGATCGGGTTTAGGGTGGAGAGAGTGGAGGTGGTCCCGGCTGTGTCTGCCCATGTGTACTGAGGTGAGCTCTGCCTGAGACAATGACTCTGTCCCTGTTTGTCCCTGTCTGGCTGCTTCTGTCTGCCCCTGTCTGCTCCTGCCTACCTCTGTCTGAGTCTGCCTGCTCCTTTCTGGCCCTTCCTTCCCCTGTCCACTTCACAGATCACAGGGCAGGGGTCAGGAGGTCAGCAGCTGGTCATTATAAAGCCTGTGTGCACTGCCCTCTCTGCATCAGTTCACTCTGAGCCTCTGAAGCAGGCACATATACACACACAGCTAAACCAGCACCAACAGCTATGGAATATTCAGCCATGTTTGTAGTTCTTTTGAGTTTGAGTTCAGGGCTTGGGAGCGGTCAGAGGAATGAGACATTGGGATACCCTCTGTACATGATGCAGTTGTACCGGGCCTTTAAAATGTCTGACTCTTCTGTCTTCTCTGACCCCCGGGCAGGAGATGATCGCACCAAACTCTGACTCTGTGCTCAGTCTTACAGCCAAAGGTGAGTGTCACAATGTTCTACAAGTATATATCACTAACAGGTACTTGTAATTGGGGGGGTATTTTGGAGGATAATAAATACATCATTCCATATACAGTAGTAGGGCTGAAAGATTTTGGAAAATATCAAATTAAGATTTTAAGCATTGCGATTTGATTTGCCGTTTATGTTTTAATAATGGGATTTTGTTCAAAGTTCATATTTTAAATGCACCCAGAAAAATTGACAAAAAGACAAAAATATGTCATCTGTTTGTGCAGGGTTAGCAGTTTTTGTGCACAATATAACAGGAGATTTTGTTAAAGAAATGAGGGCACTTCAAAATTTTTCTTTCAAATTGTGATTTTGATTTGCTTGTGACTAATATTGCAGCCCTAGACAGAAAGATTATTGTGAGAAACATAATTTTTGAAACTGTAAGTGAATCACATGGTCTGTTAGATTACAATGTCTTCATAATGTTGTATAAAATGTCTGAATTATTTGTGAAATAATATTTTTTGTCCAATGACCTAGAAATGGGAACTATAATGTAACATCAGGTTTTGTTTTGTTTTTTTGTTTATTAGAGGACTTGGACCATTGTATAACATATATAATCATGAGTTATTGTGAATTCTAATCCCCTGAGAATCCTACACTGTTTTAAACATGTAGCCACTGGTATTTTAAACCAATGTCAGCCCAAAGTCATGTTCAAGGCAAGTGGCCTCAATTTTCTCACACTCAAATTTATTCCCACCTAAATCTCCTTTTGATTAAATTTGAGTGCTTTCCTTTAATACTGTATGTCCTAAAGACTAAAGGATCTACCTGTGCAGTTAGAGTTATAGTTTAGTTTTTCATATAGCTCAGTACAACTTTATTCTCACTTTGAATTATGAGAAGAAGAAAAAATCACAGTAATCTATCTTTTGCTTGATATACAAATTTGAAAACATAGATAGAAGTCATTCCACAACGTCCTGAAATAGTGAAAGGTAAAAGTGCGTGTGTTAGTATGTTGAAATGCAGCCGTGTGGATTGGCTGTGTATGCGGCGTTTATCAGGGGCCCTGTTTACGAGGGCCAGTGTCAGATGCTGATTGGACTTTAAAGGGCCTGTGGTGTTTTATGTTGTGGAGGGGCCGTATATTGGCCCTTAGACGCCTGTGCTGCTGATGGAGGGGCCAATCCACATCCTGTGTCCACACCTCCCTCTGCACACGGCACACATTTGTCCAGGCCCACCAGAGGGACTGTCCTGACTCTACACAGGAACAAATATGAGTACAGATCCTTTAAATGATGCTAAAATCATGTTTTCTTTTAGGCTGTCATTCTAAAAATAGTTTAGAATATCTGACTGTTGGTTACAAGTTACAATACTGTACCTACACTGTTTTCTATTAACGGATACTAATTCTAACTCCATAATCCCTTCCCTAGTTAGCCTGTATTTCTTAATGAACCATTCTTTATTTATGTAGTTTATACAAATTAAAATAAAGAATGTAAATAACAATATATAATATTTTCATCCAATTGTAGGGATCCAGCTTTTTTCATTTCCGATACAGATTCCAATACTAAAGCTTTAAGTATCTGCCAATACCTGATGTCAAGCGATACCAGTTCAGAGACTGAAAACTGCATTTATGTGTCATGTAGCCAGTGACTTTTAAAATGTATCCCCCTACAGATTACAGATTACATACCCCAAAATGTAGTTTGTAACGTAATCCATTAAATTACTTAAAGTGAGTAAAATAATGTGAATAGTTTTGGATTACTTGATATTGTCATGATTTTTAAAACTACATGAATATAGCGACCACATCCTGAAAATTCATGTTTGTTCTCTTCAAATTGAGCCCAAGTCTAAATGAAGAGGCATTTGTTTGCAGTAGAGAAGCAAAGACGAGGATCTGAACATAAGATGTTTTATCTGCTAAAAGAAAATAAAAAGCCCAGACTTTACTTAACCAGATTAAAAATATTATTGACAGAGAAATGATTTTTAAAGTATGTCCACCTACTGTTAAGTGTCATACTGTTTAGACCTGGTTTAGTCCTGGTTTTAGACCTGGTTTAGTCCTGAAAATACCACCATGAAATCAATTTATTTTAACAATGTAACTGTAATCCAATTACCACTCATTTAAACAGTAACTGTAACTGAATACAGTTACTCATAATTTGTTCTTGGATTACGTAACGCTGGTACATGTAATCTGTTACTCCCCAACATTGCATGTAGCTGTGATTTATCCTTTAAGTCACTACTGAACAGTTTCGTATAAATAAAAGTTCAAACATTATGAGAATGTCTGGGCCAACTACGACCAAAGAAAAAGAGTTTTATTACATCAGTATGTCCAACCAGCATATTGACAGAGCTGATATTTGGAGGCTGCTCTGCTCCAGTGTATTTTCCAGTATCAGTACCAATATCTAATATCAGTGCTGGACCTGTGCATCCCCCAAATGTTGCTAAAAATCAAGGAAAAACAGCTGCCAGACACTCTCCCAGACACAAGGCTGTGTGTCATGGTGCTACATCACAGTGACAGGACTGACAGGGTGTTTTTGTCATTCCTCCTCACTTCTCCCTCTGTTCTCTCCTCAGGCTGCCATCAGGTCGGAGCCCACTGGACCATGACCTTTGACCTGTCCTCTGTCTCCTCCAGTGAGCGTGTGCAGTCAGCTGAGCTCCGCGTGCGTCTCCCCGTCTTCTCCGCCTCCCAAAGGGCTATTGTGGACCTGTACCACTCCAGAGCTCTCTCCTGCCCTCAGCACTCACACTGCAGAGAAGAGCGCGTTCTGTTAGGCACGTTTGAGAGCGCTTCGGCCCACAGCGCCTCCTCCTGGAAAGTGTTCAACGTGACGGGCTTCTTACAGGACTGGCGCGGCGGAGCGTTGGCCTGGGACAGCTCAGGGGACTCTGAGGAGGGGAGCGCGGCAGCGGGGGGCAGACTGGTGCTCGATAGACCCACGCAGAGGAAGGTGTCCCACGTGACCACAAACCGCGTTACCATGGTGATCTTCTCCAGACAGAGTGTTCCTTCAGTGGGGCAGCCAGCCTACAGCCTCATCCAGACCGTGCAGAACTCCAAGTACGTGGGGAGGTTCAGGAGAGAGTCGCCTGGAAGGAGCATGGGCAGGAGGCACAAGAGAAACCGGCTGGAGCACAGTAAGAGCGCTCACCTGGTTATGACACTGTCATAAAGACATGTTTGCAATCCATCAGGAATGGGCCTGTACATGTCTTGGTTTAGCTTCACACCAGCAGGAGTGTACTGTAAACACACTACACAAGTACAGAAATCTAGTCAGTCTGTCCATGGGTTTCAGAATGATGAGAGTCTAGGACCACTGCTGTAGTGATCAAGCATTATTCCATTAACAGTGTTGTGTTTAGTTGTGGTTTATTCCAGGCTCTGGTGTCACTTAATGTCATAGATTTTCTGTGTGGTTTTAAGTGTGGTTTGAACCACAAATAGTTGAAACAACTGGCAGATAGAAGAGGACTAAATGATTCTGAATTATTTATGCTTGTCACTGTCTTGTTGTGTGCAGCTGTAAAAGAGAGGCTGAGGACATCAGACAGGGCCAGTCCCACAGGGGTCCCAGAGGAGGGTGGGCCCCGGCCTCTGTGCAGGCGTGTGGACATGTGGGTGGACTTTGACCTGATTGGCTGGGACGCCTGGATCGTGCACCCCAAACGCTACAACGCCTACCGCTGTGAGGGGGAGTGTCCCACTCCTCTAGACGAGTCCTTCAACCCGACCAACCACGCCTACATGCAGGTGAGGGCCCCATACTCTTATAACACTTCTGTGGATTACATACGGCTGTTCAAATGCTTTATTCAGACATTTAAAAACCCTTGTGTTCAGACAGAAGCTTTACGCCTCTAGTTGGACACTCTTACATTTCACAGCAGATGCTTAAACACATTGATCAAAAATTCTTTTTGATATTTCACATCTGACCCTGGGGTGTGAACTCTCAGCCTCCTGCAGGTTTTTGTACTCATCATTATTATTGCTTAGTAATTGATTACAGTATGTAATCATGCCCGTCTCTATGGAGATGATGTTGCTTTGCATGGAATGTTCCACAGTATGGAATTAAACTTGTCCATCTTGTGTTTATTGAACAACAGATATTCTTATTGCTCTGAAACACCATGACATGCCTTTATGTGAGCGGCCTTGTGTAAAAGCAGATGTCCACATAGTGGTTTATCACCGTCTTTTGTTTCTCCAGAGCCTATTGCGCCACCACCAGCCCGGGCGGGTGAGCTGCCCCTCCTGTGTGCCCACGCGCCTCTCACCCCTCTCCATGCTCTACTACGACAGCGACGACCTGGCAGTGCGCCATCATGAAGACATGGTGGTCGAGGAGTGTGGCTGTCACTGACCATGTTTACTGTTGCCACAGATACGACATTGTGGTTGAGGAGTGTGGAAGGCACTGACCATAGTTTACGGTCACCATGGATACGATGGCGACATCATGAAGACATGGTGGTCGAGGAGCGTGACTGTCACTGACCATGTTTACTGTTGCCATGGGATACCGCCGACATACTGCACATTTACTGCTGATAGTACTTTGCAACCTTTCATCATATAGTACTTTCTGAGAATTATATTTTATATATTTATGATTTTGTTGTATATATTGTACATATAATATTGAGAATTTATTAAACACTTTATTGAAGCATTTTCTGTTTTTGTATTTGTCTGTATTATGATAATGAACTACCACATATTAAAAGACAAATGAACATATATAAAGTGTGTGCAGTCAGTGAATGGTTCATTTCTGCTAAACTTGCTCTGCCAAGTGAGGACAGGCCCTCTAACCAACACACACACACACATCACATTCATACTAAGAAATGTGGGCCAAGTGTCTTGCCTAAAGACACAACAGTATGCCACAGCTAAGAGCAATTATTAAAGACAAAACATACAATAATAATGCACAAAATCTGATTATTTTGGAGGATAGAGGCAAAAATGAGACAAACTAAATCATATCTGAAGCAGCGCTGCAAGAAATACAGATGTTCAAATCATTTCATATTGTCACTTAAAGCTTTTGTCACTTCTAGACTTACAGTGGGAAGAGGAAGCGCTTTTACTCAAGTAGGAATACTTTCAAATACATTACTCAAGTAGGAGTGAGACTATGTGGTGAAGACACTACTCAGAAAAATTCAGTTTTATTAAAAGTGACTTCGGTAAAAGTAACTGAGTAACACCTGCCTCTGGTTTTAGATTAGACCAGATAAACCACACCAAGACCAGAGCGACACGAGCTCATGATCAAGCTGAAACCAGACCGAGTGGACAGCAGACACTGTGAAGCCAGCTCAAACCTTTACAACAGTTCTTCTCTCAAACAGTAAACACTGTTCCACTTTGTGATGTCATATGGTAATACAGGAAGTGCTTCACTGTGTTGTTACACCTTCCCTAGTATTTGTTATCTCCAGTCTCCACTAAACAAAAGGTAAAAGAAAGCTGCTAACTTGAAAACTGTCTGTTTGAGATGAGAACAAGCCACTACAATTTTAAAACAACCTACATGTTTAAAAAAACTCAGATTCAGAACTAAGGTTATTGAACGAAGCGTCACTTATCGAAGAGACTTGACAAAGAAATAAAAGAATCAAGTACAATGATGACATTTAAAAAATACATAAAATCAAATGCAATGTGTATGTGAAAAAGAATTATGATGTGCATAAAAGTGAAGATTTCTGCTTGCAATTCATCAGTAATTGTGCCTGAACTGATATTTCCATGTTTAGTGACCATCGATGTTGATGTTTTGTCTTGAAAGGGGAAAGGGGGGCAGATAACATAAGATTTCTCTTCTTTCTGCTCCTTTTCATTCATTTTTTGTATGTCTGATGTTGTGACGCTCTCGATGTCTTTTTATACTTTATGAATGAAATAAATAAACAAATTTTTAAAAAATTTAATAAAAAACTACTGCTTCATTAGAACTGAAATGAGGAGCGGCCCAAACCTGTGCGGGCTTTCCAAATGACCAGACACATGACCCTGGTCTTTCCTAAAGCTCTCACAGCTTTGGGCCGATCTTTATTTCAGTTCTGCAGCACGTGACTGGAACCACCTTCAACAGATTTTAAAACTTAGTTTAGTTTTACCTCTGTCAACTTTTAAAAACTCCTTCCAGGTGATTTTACAGGATCATTGCACATGATTTTAACACTTTTATATCTACAATCTGCAAATGTTTCACTGTTTCATGTTGTGATGTGCGAGTGTGTTCTGTTTGTGTTGTTTTGTCCTGCCTCTTAGCCAGGTCGCCATTGCAAATTAGAAGGTGTTCTCAACTGACTTACCTGGTAAAATACTGAATAAAAATAATAAATAATAATGACATCACAAGGTGGAGCAGAGCATTTTGAGCTTTGGAGACAGTTTAATAATAAAGAGTTAGTCAAACATGAGTGAATGAAACAAAACAACTCCAGATGTGTTTGAGGAGGTAACACCATTAGAACATGGCTTAAAGCTCACAATTTTACATAATATAGGTCCTGTAAACAAAATCTCATAGACCACCACACCTGAGCTCAGACATGGGGCAGACAGACAGCCAACAATGGACCGAGACCCTCCACTACCAAACCACAACATGCTTATATTTTCAGGATGTGTGGACTGTTCCTCAGACACACCTCCTGCCTCACAGAGCACAGGCCAGAGGTGAAACTGACACTCTCTGCTCAGTTTTGGGGCAGTTAGCAGCTCCACAGTCCAATCCACAGCCAGGCCGCGGCTCATTAGGCTGAGTGTGGATTGGGATCAAACGGTCTTTAATGGACTGTTGTGTGCCCCCCCCCAGCAGGACTGTGTGTAAGGCCAATACACATGAGAGAGTCAATAGGCCTGTCACCAAGTTTAAAGCTTGATATATGGCCACAGAGAAATACTGCCATTAAACCATAATATTGAACTTGATGCCACTGATACAGCATTTTTAAATAGACAGTATCATTAAAAGCCACGAGCTGCAACAAATAACAGAATGGTCCAATAAGTAGTCACAGAAAGTATTTATTCTCCCCTTCACAGCTAAAATCTCCACACTACTGCAAATTAATTGTACACACAATAAATATTGAGCCTCAAAATATACTGCTCCAGCTTTCATATGATGAACAGTGAAGTCGATAAAGTCATTATCATAACAGGCCAAAGGGTCGAGCAGCTGACAAATGTTCTAAAGTTACTTTATTATATTGACATTTTGTGGCATGAATGAAAAATGCACCAAATTGTATAGTGACTCGAACAAGCACTATAAAAGACTCATTATTATTACTTATACTATATACTTATTATTATACTTATTATTATACTTATTATTATTATTATTATTATTATTATTATTATTATTATTATTATTATTATTATTATTATTATTATTGATGAACATTCCACCATAGAGATACAAGCAGAACACCTCCAGCGTGATGTCACTGTGTACTGAATGTGCAACAGATCTTTGGTATGAACACATGAATAGTGACACTCTCCAGCTGAAAATAAACTGTACATATGTTTATTTAAATGATTTTACACTTTACAGAGTGTAAGCACGTGCAGTCATTACATTTGATGAGAATACCTTCCTTGATTTTCCAGCTTTATTTGGAATGTGAAATTATAATACCTCTTATCACTATGGCAACATGGTGTATTATTTATAACAATCTCAAGTGCAGGGGTCTCCAACCTGGAGCTCAGGGGATATCAGGAGCTCTCCACCCTCTTCCAAGTAGTTCACCAAGGGATTTCTGAATTACACATTATGCTTAATAACTCAAAATACATTCATTACATGAGTATTGCCACTTGTACTTCATCCTGTGAACTGTTAAATGGTTTATGTTTTATAGGCTGTACCCCATGTAAGGTCTGCCCTCTTTCTTAAATCAGTTTTTTTTTAAGACCACTAAAACAAGTAGCTCTCTGGTCTTTTCGTTTTGAAAAAGAGACTTACTGGAGGAAAAAGACCCCTGCTCTAGTGCGTGCACTTCTGTCTCATGGTTTGGATAGTTTGGCCAGATAAAGTTGGGCAGGAGTGTCAGACTCATTGTGGTCCAGGGGCTGTCTCTAACCGACTTTGTTCCCAAAGGGGCCGGATCAGAAAAGTTCAAATATAGCCGCAAGAGGCAATGATCAGCCTATGCTGCGCCCCGCAAACGCCTCACACTGACCCTAAAAACCCTAAACTTAAACCTTACCCTAATCATAATCCTAACCATAGCCCCAACCCTAACCCTATAATTTTTAAAATTTGTCAAAAAAGCCCTGTTATTCTGTCTTCACTTGTGTTACAATTGCATTTAACATCTATCTTGCTTTTAAGGTAATTTGTGCACAAAAACACCTTAAAAGCATGCATTATTACTCAAGTGGGTACACCTCTCCACAGATCTGACTTATTTGGCCTTGTTGAATAGGCTTAATGACTGACTGGCGAGCATTCCAGGCAAAGCATTGTCATAGAGACAAGCAGATGACACCAGAAAAATTACATAGTGCTCGTTCATGCCTATCTTAGTGCTTGGATGCAAATGATTTTATTTGTCTCAAGAGGAAACATATGATATTTCAAGTATGATATTTTAAGTTACTAGCTGATTCGTGTTCTTTTTATTAAAGGGTCCATATTACGCCATTTTCTGACCTCTCTTTTAATGTTGTTTCCTCATCACAAACATCCCTGGAGTTGTGTTCTGTTTCATTCACGCATGTTTAAAACAGAAATCTTGCACCATTAAAGTTTGAGTGAAATCGGCCAAACTTGTCAAAGTTTGATGGTGAGCCACAAAACCGAACCTGAAATTTTCACTGTTTTCTTTTAGCTTTTAATTATTTTTAATGTCTAGATGACATAGAATGATAGATATTTACCATTCTATCCTTTACTCAAGTACTATAGCATTTTTCCCACTTGTGATTCTACTTAATGGAGACCAACTGACATATTTATTATATCTGTAACATCTGTCAAAGTCCAAATGAGACCAGAACGAGTGAATGGTGTGATGATAATAATACTTTTATTCATAATCAAAATGTAGGAAGACTCAGTGGTCTTCTTGTGGACGCACACAGCAGCACAAAGCATCTCTGAGTCTGTGTAGCACTCTAGCAACCCTCTGGAAAAAAGACCGCTTCAGAGGATTGCTGACTGGAGCAGCATCTGTGGTTAGATGTTTGTCTTCCAAGTGGGGGAGGACTATGAAGTCAGCGCTGTGTGAATGGTCAATGGGCTCCAGCTCATCCCTGCAGCTGGGGGACGCTGTAAGTGGACCAGCAGAAGATGCTTGTCCACAAAGGGACCAGACGCCAGAGTCTTGGCCAATAGATGAGGATGATTTTGGTGCATCTGTTTGGACTTCACCTTTGACACTGGAGCCACATGTTTGCTCCTCCAGGGGACAGGAAGAAGTGTCCACCGTTACACGGGAGACACATGTTTGCTCCTCCATGGGACAGGAAGAAGTGTCCACCGTTACACG